TCAAACCACCCCAAAACCCCCAGAAATGCCCCGAATTGCCCAAAATCCGTGTTTTTAGCCCCATTACCGTCGGCTGGGCGCGGGCGCAGGCGGCAGACCTGGCGGGCACATGGCCACGAAGCCGTGGTAGAAGCGCGTGAGCTCCTCGTCCGAGCGCCGCTCCAGGTTGGCCAGGGCGCGGAACCGGCCCCAGCGGAACCGGCCCGAGCCCGGCTCCAGCTCCACGCCAAAGGTGGAGGCCACGCGCAGGAAATCAGCCTGCTCGCGGCGGGTCCAGCTGGAAATGGGGAGAAATGGGGAAAATCGGTGAAAAAACAGCGAAAAAATGGCAGAAATCGGTGGGAAAATGGAGGAAAGGAACCCAAAACCACCCCGAAGGTGGAGGCCACGTGCACAGGAAATCGGCCTGCTCGCGGCGGGTCCAGCTGGGAAATGGGGAAAAAGGGGGAAAAATGGGGAAAATTGGTGAAAAAACGGGAAAAATCGGTGAAAAAACGGGGAAAATCGGTGAAAAAACGGCGAAAATCGGTGAAAAAATGGGGAAAAAATGGCGGAAATCGGTGGGAAAATGGCGGAAATCGGTGGAAAAAAATGGGGAAAATCGGTGAAAAAACAGCGAAAAAAATGGCAAAAATTGGTGGGAAAATGGCGGAAATTGGTGGGGAAAATGGCGGAAAAACGGTGGGGAAAATGGCGGAAAGGAACCCAAAACCCACCCAAAGGTGGAGGCCACGTGCAGGAAATCGGCCTGCTCACAATGGGACCAGCTGAAATGGTGAAAAAATGGGGAAAATCGGTGAAAAAATGGGGAAAATCGGTGGGAAAATGGCGGAAATCGGTGAAAAAATGGGGAAAATCGGTGAAAAAACAGCGAAAAAAATGGCAAAAATTGGTGGGAAAATGGCGGAAATTGCTGGGAAAATGGTGAAAAAACGGCAGAAATTGGTGGGAAAATGGGGGAAAAGAACCCAAAACCACCCTGAGGGTGGGAAAAACCAGGGAAAACAGGCAAAAAACCAGGGAAAATGGGCAAAAAACAGAGGAAATGGGAATAAACCGGAGAAAATGGGAAAAAGCCAGAGAAAACAGGGGAAAACCGGAGAAATTGGGAATAAACCAGAGAAAATGGGAATAAACCAGAGAAAATGGGAAATAACCAGAGAAAACAGGGAAAAAACCAGAGAAAATGGGAAAAAAATAGGGAAAATGGGAAAAAAAACAGGGAAAATGGGAAAAAAGCAGGGGAAACGGAAAACTGGAGAAAATGGGAAAAAAAACAGAGAAAATGGGAAAAAACCAGAAAAAAATGGGAATAAACCTGAGAAAATGGGGAAAAAAAACGGAGAAAAACTGGAGAAAATGGGAAAAAAACAGAGAAAATGGGAAAAAACCAGAGAAAATGGGAAAAAAAAGAGAAAACAGGAATAATCCGGAAAAAATGGAAAAAAACCAGAGAAAATGGGAAAAAGCCAGAAAAAATGGGAAAAAAACCAGAGAAAATGGGAAAAAAAGAGAAAACAGGAAAAATCCAGAAAAAATGGGAAAAAATCAGAGAAAATGGGAAAAAAAGTGGAGAAAACGGGGAAAAAAAACCAGCAAAAAAAACCCCACAAAAAGTCCGCCAGAAAACAGGAAAAAACCATCAAAAAACGCATTGAAAAACCAGAAAAAAACCCCTTAAAAACCCCTAAAAAAACCCCCAAAAAGCCCCTAAAAAACCCCCAAAAAACCCCTGAAAAACCCCTAAAAAACCCCCCAAAAACCCCCAAAAAACCCCCGAAAAACCCCTAAAAAACCCCAAAAAACCCCTAAAAACCCCTAAAAAACCCCCAAAAAACCCCCGAAAAACCCCTAAAAAACCCCTAAAAAACCCCTAAAAAACCCCCAAAAAACCCCCGAAAAACCCCTAAAAAAACCCCCAAAAAACCCCTAAAAACCCCCAAAAAACCCCCAAAAAACCCCTAAAAAGCCCCAAAACGCCCCCAAACCTCCCCCCGGGGGGGTTTCCGAGGCTGCCGAGTCCATTCCCCCCGCCCCTCCCCACACCCCCAGACGCCCCCAAACGCCCCCAAACCCCCCAAATTCCCCAAATTCCCCAATTTCCCCCCGTTACCGCTGCTGCTTGTCGCGCCGGGCGGGGTCGTGGCCGCGCCGCTGCCGCCGCCGCTGCTGCTCCCCTGTCCCTGTCCCCGTCCCTGTCCCTGTGCCCATCCCATGGGGGCTCGGGGGGCTCGGGGGGCGCTCCCGGGGGCTCCCCTGGCCCTGCCCCGGCCCCGGCCCCGGCGCCCGGCCCCGCTGAGCCGCCCCCAGCAGGCGCCGGAAACGCGCGGTGAGAGCCGGGGAGGAAGGCCAGGAGGAGGAGGAGGAGGGTGGTGATGCTGAACCTGGGGAGAAAAGAGGGGGTTTGGGGTCAGTTTGGGGGATTTGGGGTGAATCTGGGGGGGTTTGGGGGGATTTGGGGTCAGTTTGGGGGGATTTGGGGTTAAAAAGAGTGAATTTGGGTACATTGGGGAGAACGGGCGGTGAGCGCCGGGGAGGAAGGCCAGGAGGAGGAGGAGGGTGGTGCTGAACCTGGGGGAGAGAAAAGGGGGGATTTGGGGTCAGTTTGGGGAGATTTGGGGTGAATCTGGGGGAGTTTGGGGGGATTTGGGGTCAGTTTGGGGGATTTGGGGTATATTGGGGTGAACGGGTGGTGAGGGCTGGGGAGGAAGGCCAGGATGGGGAGGAGGAGGATGGTGGTGAGCCTGGGAGAGAGAAAAGGGGGGATTTGGGGTGAATCTGGGGGGGTTTGGGTACATTGGGGTAAACGCGCGGTGAGAGCCGGGGAGGAAGGCCAGGATGGGGAGGAGGAGGAGGGTGGTGATGAACCTGGGGAGAGAAAAGGGGGGATTTGGGGTGAATTTGGGGGGATTTGGGGTCAGTTTGGGGGGATTTGGGGGGATTTGGGTACATTGGGGTGAACGGGTGGTGAGGGCAGGGGAGGAAGGCCAGGATGGGGAGGAGGAGGAGGGTGGTGCTGAGCCTGGGGAGAGAAAAGGGGATGTGGGGTCAGTTTGGGGAGATTTGGGGTCAGTTTGGGGGGATCAGGGGACATTGGGGTGAACAGGCGGGTGAGGGCCGGGGAGGAAGGCCAGGATGGGGAGGAGGAGGGTGGTGGTGCTGAACCTGGGGAGAGAAAAGGGGGGATTTGGGGTTAAAAAGGGGGGATTTGGGGGTTTGGGTACATTGGGGTGAACGGGTGGTGAGGGCTGGGGAGGAAGGCCAGGAGGAGGAGGAGGAGGGTGGTGATGCTGAACCTGGGGAGAAAGAGGGGATTTGGGGTCAGTTTGGGGGATTTGGGGTTAAAAAGAGTGAATTTGGGGTGAAAAAGAGTGAATTTGGGGTGAAAAAGAGTGAATTTGGGGGTGAAAAAGAGTGAATTTGGGGTTAAAAAGAGTGAATTTGGGGTGAAAAAGAGTGAATTTGGGGTGAAAAAGAGTGAATTTGGGTTAAAAAGAGTGAATTTGGGGTGAAAAAGAGTGAATTTGGGGTGAAAAAGAGTGAATTTGGGGTTAAAAAGAGTGAATTTGGGGTGAACGGGCGGGTGAGGGCGGGGCCGAGGGCCACGAGGAGGAGGAGGGAGGAAGAGGAGGATGATGATGAGGATGATTCTGTTCAATTTTGGGCTGATTTTGGGGATTTCAAAGGGTTCTGAAGGATTCTGTTGAATTTTGGGCCGATTTTGGGGGATTTTAAAGGATTTTTGAAGGATTCTGTTCAATTTTGGGCCGATTTTGGGGGTTTCAAAGGGTTTTAAAAGGATTCTGTTCAATTTTGGGCCGATTTTGGGGATTTCAAGGGTTTTGAAGGATTCTGTTGGATTTTGGGCTGATTTTGGGGATTTCAAAGAGTTCTGAAGGGTCAAAGAATTCTGTTGAATTTTGGCCAATTTTGGGGATTTTAAAGGATTCTGTTGAATTTTGGGCCGATTTTGGGCCAATTTTGGGGGTTTCAAAGGGTTTCAAAGGGTTCTGAAGGGTCTCAAAGGGTTCTGCTGGATTTTGGCCGATTTTGGGCCGATTTTGGGCTGATTTTGGGCCGATTTGGGGATTTCAAAGGGTCTCAAAGGGTTCTGTTGAATTTTGGGCTGATTTTGGGCCAATTTTGGGTGATTTTGGGTGATTTCGGGGCTTGCTCACCTTCGTCCCCGTCCACCACGGCGATGTCCTCGTCCAGCCCGGCCAGGGGGTCCAGGGGGTCACTCTGGGGGGGTCACGGGGTCACCAGGGCCCCCCAAAACCCCGGGCAGGGTGGGGGGGGGGGGGGCTGCTCCCCTTTTTGGGGAGAAAACCCCGGGTTTGGGCAATTTGGGGGAAATTGGGGGAATTTTGGGGTTTTTTACCTCCTCGGCTCCCTGCAGGGGTTTGTACTCGGGGTCCTCGGGGTCTTTGTCGAAATCGGCCCTGGGGAGACCCAAAATGGCCGGAATTGAGCCCAAAAGGCCCCAGGAGGCCCAAAACCGCAGGAATTGAGCCCAAAAGGCCCCGGGAGGCCCAAAACCGCAGGAATTGAGCCCAAAAGGCCCCGAGAGGCCCAAAACCGCAGGAATTGAGCCCAAAAGGCCCCGAGAGGCCCAAAACCGCAGGAATTGAGCCCAAAAGGCCCCGAGAGGCCCAAAACCGCAGGAATTGAGCCCAAAAGGCCCCGAGAGGCCCAAAACCGCAGGAATTGAGCCCAAAAGGCCCCGAGAGGCCCAAAATCGCAGGAATTGAGCCCAAAGCGGAGCCGGGGGCGCCTCAGCCCGGAGCTGAACTCAGCCCGGCCCGGGGCCGGTCGGTATTAGCATGGCTGGGTCATCAGGGGCGCCCTTTTTGGGGGAAAAACCCCAAATCCGGGGGGTTTGGGGAGGCAAGAGCCAATGAAAGGCAGGATGAAACAAAACGCCCGAAAACAGGCCAAAATCAGCCCAAAAAACCACCCAGAAACAGCCCCAAAACCACCCAAAATCAGCCCAAAAACCACCCAAAATCAGCCCAAAAAAATCCGCCCAAAATCAGCCCCAAAACCACCCCCAAAACCACCCCAAAAACCACTCAAAAACCACCGCAAAAACAGCCCCAAAACCACCCAGAACCAGCCCAAAAAACACCCAAAATCAGCCCAAAAAAACCCCAAAAACACTCAAAAAAACACCCCAAAAACACCCCAAAATCAGCCCAAAAAAACACCCCCAAAACCCACCCAAAATCAGCCCCAAAAAAACACCCAAAATCAGCCCATAAAAATACCACCCCCAAAAACAGCCCCAAAACCCACCCAAAATCAGCCCAAAAACACCCCCAAAACAGCCCCAAAACTGCCCAGAAACAGCCCCAAAAACACCCAAAAAAACCACCCAAAAACCATCCAAAAACCACCCCAAAAAAACCAGCCCAAAACCACCCAAAACCCCTCAAATGCCCCCAAAGCCACCCAAAATCCTTAAAACCCCCCAAAATCCTCCCAAACCACCCAAAATCCCCCCAAATCCCCCAAATGCCCCCAATCCGCCCCATTTTGCCCCGAATTGGCCCCAATGTGGCCCCGCTCACCCCTCGGGCCCCTCCAGGCGCTGCTCGGCCGCCACGGCCGCGGCATCGGGACCCCCGGCCCTGGCCAGGAAACACAGGGCGGGGTCTGCCCGCATGCTCTGGTACCGCTCATAGCCTGGAATTGGGGAAAAACATCCAAAAATTGGGATTGGTTATAAAAAACTGCAAAAAAAACGGAGTAAATGGCAAAAAACCCCATGAAAATAGCCCAAAACACGCCCAAAATACACCCAAATTACACTGAAATAACCCCAAAGGGCAGGGCAGGGTCTGCCCGCATGCTCTGGTACCGCTCATAGCCTGGAATTGGGGAAAAACATCCAAAAATTGGGATTGGTTATAAAAAACTGCAAAAAAAACGGAGAAAATGGCAAAAAACCCCATGGAAATAGCCCTAAATACACCCAAATTGCACTGAAATAACCCCAAAGGGCAGGGCAGGGTCTGTGCCCATGCTCTGGTACCGCTCGTACCCTAAAATGGGGAAAATTCACCCAAAATTGGGATTGGTTATAAAAAACTGCAAAAAAAACAGAGAAAGTAGCAAAAAACCCCATGGAAATAGCCCAAAATACGCCCTAAATACACCCAAATTACACTGAAATAACCCCAAAGGGCAGGGCAGGGTCTGCCCGCATGCTCTGGTGCCGCTCATAGCCTGAAATGGGGAAAATTCACCCAAAATTGGGAATTGTTAACAAAAACTGCAAAAAAAACGGAGAAAACAGCAAAAAACCCCATGGAAATAGCCCTGAATGCACCCAAATTACACTGAAATAACCCAAAATAACCCAAAATACCTCAAAATAACCCAAAGGAACCCAAAATGGGATTTATTAACAAAAAACAGTAAAAAAAAGTCTGAGAAAAAGGCAAAAACCAGCAAAAATCCCATAAAAACCCCAGGCCAAATGACACCCAAAATCCATGCAAATAACCCCATAAATGTGAATTTTCCCAAAATCGGGGTTTTTAGCCCCAATCATTACCGTGTTTGAGCACCCCCAGGAGCAGGGACCCATACACTCTATAATTATAAATTTTGTGAAATTGCCCAAAATCTCCGTTTTTAGCCCCAATACCGTGTTTGAGCACCCCCAGCAGCAGGGACCCATACACTCTATAATTATAAATTTGCCCAAAATCTCCATTTTTCACCCCAAACAATACCGTGTTTGAGCACCCCCAGGAGCAGGGACCCATAACCCCACAATGTGAATGTTGTGAATTTTGTGAATTTTCCCAAAATCTCCGTTTTTCACCCCAATCATTACCGTGTTTGAGCACCCCCAGGAGCAGGGACCCACAACCCACACATTCTATCATTATAAATTTTGTGAATTTTCCCAAATTCACTGTTTTTAGCCCCAATCATTACCGTGTTTGAGCACCCCCAGGAGCAGGGACCCCATAACCCATAAATGTGAATTTTCCCAAAATCTCCGTTTTTAGCCCCAATCCCGTGTTTGAGCACCCCCAGGAGCAGGGACCCATACACTCTATAAATATAAATTTGCCCAAAATCTCCGTTTTTAGCCCCAATCATTACCGTGTTTGAGCACCCCCAGGAGCAGGGACCCCACAATGTGAATTTTCTGAATTTGCCCAAAATCGCCGTTTTTCACCCCAAACAATACCATGTTTGAGCACCCCCAGGAGCAGGGACCCCATAACCCATGCATTCTATCATTATAAATTTGCCCAAAATCGGGTTTTTTCACCCCAATCATTACCATGTTTGAGCACCCCCAGGAGCAGGGACCCATACATTCCATCATTATAAATTTGCCCAAAATCTCCATTTTTAGCCCCAATACCGTGTTTGAGCACCCCGAGCAGCAGGGACCCCACATTATAAATTTTGTGAAATTGCCCAAAATCTCCATTTTTCACCCCAAACAATACCATGTTTGAGCACCCCCAGGAGCAGGGACCCACAACCCCACAATGTGAATTTTATAAATTTGCCCAAAATCTCCATTTTTCACCCCAAACAATACCGTGTTTGAGCACCCCGAGCAGCAGGGCCCCATAACCCCACAATGTGAATGTTGTGAATTTTGTGAATTTTCCCAAAATCTCCATTTTTAGCCCCATTACCATGTTTGAGCACCCCGAGGAGCAGAGACCCATAACCCATACATTCTATAATTTTATAAATTTGCCCAAATTCACTGTTTTTTGCCCCATTACCATGTTTGAGCACCCCGAGGAGCAGGGACTCCATAACCCATACACTCTATAATTATGAAATTGCCCAAATTTGCCGTTTTTTGCCCCAATACCGTGTTTGAGCACCCCGAGGAGCAGGGACCCATACACTCTATAATTATGAAATTGCCCAAAATCTCCATTTTTAGCCCCAAACAGTACCGTGTTTGAGCACCCCCAGGAGCAGGGATTTGTCGGCCTCCGGGTCCCACCAGGGCGAGGGCGGCTCCGGCTGCTCCGGGAGGGGGAGGCAGAGCTGGACATCGCTGGGGGGGGCGGGGAAAAATGGGGGGAAAAATGCAAAAAACGGGTCAGGAATGGGGAAAATGGGTTAGAAACGGGGAAAATGGGGGGGAAAAATGCAAAAAAACGGGTCAGGAATGGGAAAAATTGGTTAGAAACGGGGAAAATCAGTCAGGAATGGGGAAAATGGGGGGAAAAACGGGGAAAATGGGTCAGGAACAGGAAAAAATTGGTTAGAAATGGGGAAAATCGGTCAGGAATGGGGAAAATGGGGGGAAAAACGGGGAAAACGGGTCAGGAACGGGGAAAATGGTGAAAAATGGGGGGAAAAACCGGGAAAATGGGTCAGGAATGGGGAAAATGGTGAAAAATGGGGGGAAAATGGGTCAGGAATGGGGAAAATGGTGAAAAACGGGGAAAATGGGTCAGGAATGGGGAAAATTGGTTAGAAATGTAAAAAATGGGGGGAAAAACGGGGAAAATGGGTCAGGAATGTAAAAAATGGGGTGAGAAACGGCAAAATTTGGGATGGGGGACACCAAAAATGGGGTTAGGGAACCTGAAAGAGTGACCCCAAAACTCCCCCATTAAGATCCCCAAACCACCCCAAAATCCCCCAAAATCCCCCCTGAAAACCACCCCAGAGCACCCCAAAATCCCTAAAACTCACCCAAAAAGGGCCTTAAACCGACAAAAACCCCAAAAATGCCCCCAAAACCACTCCCAAAAACCCCAAAAATGCCCCCAAAACCACCCCTGGAACCTCACGAATTCCCCCCAAAAAGCACTGAAAAAAATCCCCAAAAATGCCCCAAAATCCCCAATAAATGCTGGAACCACCCCAAAAATCCCCCCCAGAACAACTCAAATCCCCCCTCCCCCAGTGACCCAAAATCGCCGTTTTTCACCCCAATTCGGGTATCACCCCATCACCCCCCACAAACCCCCCAAACACCCCCAAAACCCCCGGATTTTGCCCCAAACCCGGGGGTCTCCCTCACCCAAACCCCCCCAGGTGACCCAAAATCGCCGTTTTTGGCCCCATTTCGGGTCTCACCTGGCGCTGGCCCCGATCACCTCCCAAACACCCCCAAAACCCCCGGATTTTGCCCCAAACCCGGGGCTCTCCCTCACCCCAAACCCTCCCCATCCCAGGTGACCCAAAATCGCCGTTTTTGGCCCCAATTCGGGTCTCACCTGGCGCTGGCCCCGATCACCTCCCAAACGCCCCAAAATTCCCCCAAAATTCCCCCGAAATGCCCCCGAAATCCCCGGATTTTGCCCCAAACCCGGGGCTCTCCCTCACCCAAACCCCCTGCCCCCATCCAGGTGACCCAAAATCGCCGTTTCTGGCCCTAATTCGGGTCTCACCTGGCGCTGGCCCCGATCACCTCCCAAACACCCCCAAAATTCCCCCAAAATTCCCCCGAAATGCCCCCAAAATCCCCGGATTTTGCCCCAAACCCGTGGCTCTCCCTCACCCCACACCCCCCCCATCCCAGGTGACCCAAAATCGCCGTTTTTGGCCCCATTTTGGTCTCACCTGGCGCTGGCCCCGGCCAGGACGCGCTCGGCCTGGTCCCCCCCGATCACCTCGTGCCGCAGGAAATGCAGCGCCCGCACCCGCAGCAGCAGCCTGGACACACGGACACAGACGGACAGACGGACACACGGACAGACAGATGGACACACGGACACACGGACAGACAGACGGACACACGGGACAGACGGACAGATGGACAGACGGACGGACACACGGACACACGGACACACGGACAGATGGACATGGATGGACAAATGGACACACGGACAGACACACGGACATGGATGGACAGATGGACACACGGACACACGGACAGATGGACACGGACACACGGACACCGGGACAGACACACGGACACATGGACACACGGGGATGGACAGACGGACACGGGGATGGACAGATGGACACGGGGACATGGACGGACACATGGACACGGATGGACACACGGACACACGGGGATGGACACACGGACGGACAGGGGACGGACGGACACACGGACACGGATGGACATGGATGGACACACGGGGATGGACGGAGAGGGGACACACGGACACCGGGACAGACAGACACACGGACACGGACACACGGACACAGACAGACACAGGGATGGACACACGGACACACGGACACGGGGATGGACATGGATGGACAGACGGACACAGGGACACACGGACAGACGGGGACACAGGATGGACACGGGGACACAGGGACACACGGACAGACGGACACGGGGACACACGGACAGACAGGGACACGGGATGGACACGGGGACACATGGACACACGGACAGATGGACATGGGGACACGGGGACAGATGGACAGACAGACACGGGGATGGACAGACGGACACACGGGGATGGACACACGGACACGGATGGACACAGACACACAAACACGGGGATGGATGGACGGACGCGGGGATGGACAGACGGACGGACACACGGACACACGGACACGGGGACGGACACGGGGATGGACACAGGGATGGACACACGGACACGGGGACGGACGCAGGGATGGACGGACAGACAGACACGGGGATGGACACACGGACACGGGGACACGGGGACAGACGGACACAGGGACACGGATACACGGACAGACACAGGGAGGGACAGACGGACGGACAGACAAGGGAACACGGGGATGGACACACAGACAGACACAGGAACAGAAGGACAGACACGAGGTTGGACACACGGACACAGGGACGGACACAGGGATGGACACAAGGACAGACAGAGGGACACAAGGATGGATGGACAGAGGCGTGGATGGACACACGGACAGCAGGGTCAGGGTCTGGCCGGGGCCAGAATGGCCCCAAAACCCCAAAAACCGCCCCAAAAATGGCCCCAAAACCCCAAAAACAGCCCCAAAAACCGCCCCAAAAACCACCCCAGGAACCCAAAAACCACAGAACCCCAAAAATCCCCTAAAAAGCCCCAAAATCCCCATTTTTGGGACTCATTTCCCGCCATGGTGCCGGAGGGGTTTCCGATACCCCAAAAACCCCAATAAAAACCCAAAAATCCCTTAAAAAACCCCCAAAAAAACCCAAAAAAATCCCCAAAATCCCAAAAATCCCCAAAACTGCCCAAAAAGCCCCAAATCGCCCCAAATCCGCACTCACTTCCCGCCGTGGTGCCGCAGGTGTTTCCTGTACCCCAAAAACCCCAATAAAAACCCCAAAAATCCCAGAAAAAAATCCAAAAAAATCTCAAAAAAAATCCCCAAAAATCCCAAAACCCCAGAAATGCCCAAAAAGCCCCAAATCCCCCCAAACCCGCACTCACTTCCCGCCGTGGTGCCGCAGGTGTTTCCGGTAGCCCAAAAACCCCAATAAAAACCCAAAAATCCCCCAAAAAAAATCCAAAAAAATCCCAAAAAATCCCCAAAAATCCCCAAAATGCCCCAAAAAGCCCCAAATCGCTCCAAATCCCCACTCACTTCCCGCCGTGGTGCCGCAGGTGTTTCCGGTACCCCTCGTCCTGCAGCAGCCACTCGGCCCCCGCGGAACCTTCCGGAAGCTTGGGCGCCTTCCGGCCCTTGCGGCCCCGCGGCAGCGACCCCGAGCCTGGGGGAGAGGGCACCCGGGGGTCACCCGGGGGTCATCCGGGGGTCACTCGGGGGTCAGCGGTCACTCAGGGACGTTTTGGGCAATTTTAGGGCTTTTTGGGGGATTTTTTGGGGATTTTTGGACATTTTTTGGGGATTTTTATGGGATTTTCTTGGACATTTTTGGGGTATTTTTGGGTTGGTGGTCACTCGGGGGTCAGTGGTCATTTAGGGACGTTTTGGGCAATTTTAGGGTTTTTTTGGGTGATTTTTGGTCATTTTTTGAGGTATTTTTGGAAATTTTTGGGGGGTAATTCTGGATGTTTTGGGGGATTTTCTTGGATTTTTTCGGGTAGTTTTGGGTTTGTGGTCACTCAGTGGTCACTCAGTGGTCACTCAGTGGTCAGTGGGGCGAGGAGCCTGGACAGCCCCAAACCCACCTGAGATGAAACAAAGGGACCCAAACCCACCCAAAGTGACCCAAAATGACCCAAAGTGACCCAAAATGACCCAAACCCACCTGAGATGAAACAAAGGGACCCAAACCCACCCAAAGTGACCCAAACCCACCCCAAAGTGACCCAAACCCACCCAAAGTGACCCAAAGTGACCCAAACCCACCCAAAGTGACCCAAACCTACCTGAGATGATCTCCAGAACCTCGAACCCACCCAAAGTGACCCAAACCCACCCAAAGTGACCCAAACCCACCCAAAATGACCCAAACCCACCCAAACCGACCCAAACCCACCCAAACCCCCCCAGACTGACCCTGGTGCCTGGGCAGGGCGCGGCCGTTGCTGGCCCTGGCGCTGAGCAGGGCGCACGCCAGGGCCCGGGTGCTGTGAGTGACCCAAACCCACCCAAAATGACCCAAACCCACCCAAAATGACCCAAATCCCCCCCAAACTGACCCAAACCCACCCTGGTGCCTGGGCAGGGCGCGGCCGTTGCTGGCCCCGGCGCTGAGCAGGGCGCACGCCAGGGCCCGGGTGCTGTGAGTGACCCAAACCCACCCAAAGTGACCCAAACCCACCCAAACCCACCCAAACTGACCCAAAATGACCCAAAATGACCCAGATCTGCTGGTTTCACCCACCCTGGTGCCTGGGCAGGGCGCGGCCGTTGCTGGCCCCGGCGCTGAGCAGGGCGCACGCCAGGGCCCGGGTGCTGTGAGTGACCCAAACCCACCCAAAATGACCCAAAATGACCCAAACTGACCCAAAATGACCCAAACCCCCCCAGACTGACCCTGGTGCCTGGGCAGGGCGCGGCCGTTGCTGGCCCCGGCGCTGAGCAGGGCGCACGCCAGGGCCCGGGTGCCGTCGTCGCCCCGGAAGTGCCGCAGGCAGAAGAGGACGATGGCCCGGGCCAGGCTCTCCACGTCCCGCTCCGACAGGCGGCGCTTGAAGCGGCCCTGGGCGGCCAGCTCGCGCCACCGGCCCCACCTGGGATGGGCAGTGAGTGGTCAGTGGTCACTCAGGGGTCAGTGGGGTCAGTAAAGGGTCAGTGGGGTCAGTAAAGGGTCAGTGGGGTCAGTGCTTGAAGCGGCCCTGGGCGGCCAGCTCACGCCACCAGCCCCACCTGCAATGGGCAGTGAGGGGTCAGTGGTCACTCAGGGGTCAGTGGGGTCAGTGAGGGGTCAGTGGGGTCAGTAAAGGGTCAATGGGGTTAGTGGGGGATCAATGGGGTCAGTGGGGGCAGTGCTTGAAGCGGCCCTGGGCGGCCAGCTCGCGCCACCGGCCCCACCTGCAATGGGCAGTGTGGTCAGTGCGGTCAGTGAGTGGTCAGCAGGGTCAGTAAAGGGTCAGTAGGGTCAGTAAAGGGTCAATGGGGTCAGTGCTTGAAGCAGCCCTGGGCGGCCAGCTCACGCCAGCGGCCCCACCTGGAACGGTCAGTGGTCACTCAGGGGTCAGCGGGGTCATTGGGATCAATGGGGAACCAATGGGGTCAGTGGGGGATCAATGGGGTCAGTGGGGTCAGTGCTTGAAGCGGCCCTGGGCGGCCAGCTCGCGCCACCGGCCCCACCTGGGACGGGCAGAGCGGTCAGTGGTCACTCAGGGGTCAGTGGGGTCAGTAAAGGGTCAATGGGGAATCAATGGGGTCAATGGGGTCAGTGGGGTCAGTGCTTGAAGCGGCCCTGGGCGGCCAGCTCGCGCCAGCGGCCCCACCTGGGATGGGCAGTGAGTGGTCAGTGGTCACTCAGGGGTCAGTAAAGGGTCAATGGGGTCAATGGGGAACCAATGGGGTCAATGGGGGATCAATGGGGTCAATGGGGGATCAATGGGGTCAATGGCGAACCAATGGGGTCAATGAGGGATCAATGGGGTCAATGGGGGATCAATGGGGTCAGTGGGGCAGTGCTTGAAGCGGCCCTGGGCGGCCAGCTCACGCCACCGGCCCCACCTGCAATGGGCAATGAGTGGTCAGTGGTCACTCAGGGGTCAGTAAAGGGTCAATGGGGTCAATGGGGGATCAATGAGGTCAGTGGGGTCAGTGCTTGAAGCGGCCCTGGGCGGCCAGCTCACGCCAGCGGCCCCACCTGCAATGGGCAGTGGTCACTCAGGGGTCAGCGGGGTCATTGGGATCAATGAGGAACCAATGGGGTCAATGGGGGATCAATGGGGTCAATGGGGGATCAATGGGGTCAGTGCTTGAAGCGGCCCTGGGCGGCCAGCTCATGCCACCGGCCCCACCTGGAACGGTCAGTGGGGTCATTAAAGGGTCAGCAGGGTCAGTGAGTGGTCAGCGGGGTCATTGGGGTCAATGAGGAACCAATGGGGTCAATGGGAGGTCAATGGGGTCAATGGGGTCACAATGGGGACAATGAGGGACCAATGGGGTCAATGGGGTCACAATGGGGTCAATGGGAGACCAATGGGATCAATGGTGTCCCCAGGTGTGCCCGTACCCACCCATAGACCATCAGGTGTTTCCCCAGGTGTCCCCAGGTGTGTCCCAGGTGTGTCCATACCCACCCATAGACACTCAGGTGTTTCTAGAGGCGTCCCCAGGTGTCCCCTCAGGTGTTTCCCCAGGTGTCCCCAGGTGTGTCCATACCCACCCATAGACCATCAGGTGTTTCCCCAGATGTATCCCAGGTGTCCCCAGGTGTCCCCAGGTGTCCATACCCACCCATAGACCCTCAGGTGTTTCCCCAGGTGCCCCCAGGTGTGTCCCAGGTGTGTCCCCAGGTGTCCCCATACCCACCCATAGACCATCAGGTGTTTCCCCAGGTGTGTCCCAGGTGTCCCCAGGTGTGTCCCAGGTGTCCCCAGGTGTGTCCCCAGGTGTCCCCATACCCACCCATAGACCATCAGGTGTTTCCCCAGGTGTGTCCCAGGTGTCCCCAGGTGTCCCCATACCCACCCATAGACCATCAGGTGTTTCCCCAGGTGTGTCCCAGGTATCCCAGGTGTCCCCATACCCACCCATAGACCATCAGGTGTGTCCCAGGTGTGTCCCAGGTGTGCCCCCAGGTGTGTCCATACCCACCCATAGACCATCAGGTGTTTCTCCACGCGGACGCAGTCGCTCCTCGCAAACGGCGCCGTTGGGGTGGCCGGGGTGGCCTGGTGACCTCCATGCTGACCCCCATGCTGACCACTCTGTTGCTGACCACCCTGCTGACCACCCTGCTGACCACCCTGCTGACCATGCTGGTGGTGGTGTCCATGGTGGTGTCCATGGTGTCCGTGCTGGGGGTGGTGGTGGCCCCCACGCCGCGTCCTGGGCGCCGCCCGGTCCGGCCGCTCCAGCTCCTCGTCGCTCTCCAGGTCCGAGAACTCCACCAGGTCATCGTCGCGCAGCGTGCTGAAGTGGCGAGTCTGCTTCCGGACACGCGGCGTGTCGATGACCAGGTTATTCTGTGGACAATAGTGACCACTGGTCACTCTGAGTGACCATCTGACCTGCCCAAGTGACCATCACATGACCATCATGTGACCCTGTGCACCCAACCCCACCCATGTGCTGAAATGGCGAGTCTGCTTCCGGACACGCGGCGTGTCGATGACCAGGTTATTCTGGGTGGACAAGAGTGACCAGTGGTCAGCATTCACTGATCAGTGACCATCAGGTAACCCTGTGCACCCAGCCCCGCCCAGGTGCTGAAGTGGCGAGTCTGCTTCCGGACACGGGGAGTGTCGATGACCAGGTTATTCTGTGGACAAGAGTGACCACTGGTCACTCTGAGTGACCATCTGACCAGCCCAAGTGACCACCAAGTGACCATCATGTGACCCTGTGCACCCAACCCCGCCCAGGTGCTGCAGTGGCGACTCTACTTCCGGACCCGAGGAGTGTCGATGACCAGGTTATTCTGGGTGGACAATGGTGGACAATGGGCAGTGGTCACTCTGAGTGACCATCACATGACCACCAGGTGACCCTGCCCACTCAACCCCACCCAACCCCACCCAGGTGCTGAAATGGCGAGTCTGCTTCCGGACACGGGGAGTGTCGATGACCAGGTTATTCTATGGACAATAGTGACCACTGGTCACTCTGAGTGACCATCATGTGACCATCACATGACCACCAGGTGACCCTGTGCACCCAGCCCCACCCAGGTGCTACAGTGGCGAGTCTGCTCCCGGACACGGGGAGTGTCGATGACCAAATTGTTCTGTGGACAAGAGTGACCACTGGTCACTCGGAGTGACCATCTGACCATCACAGTGACCCCCAGGTGACCCTGTGCACCCAACCCCACCCAGGTGCTGAAATGGCGAGTCTGCTTCCGGACACGGGGAGTGTCGATGACCAAATTGTTCTGGGTGGACAATAGTGACCAGTGGTCACTCTGAGTGACCACCAAGTGACCATCAGGTGACCGCCACAGTGACCCTGTGCACCCAACCCCGCCCAGGTGCTGCAGTGGCGACTCTGGGGACACACAGCGTGTCGATGACCAGCGTGTTCTGGGTGGACAATGACCACTGGTCACTCTGAGTGACCACCAGATGACCCTGTCCACCCAACCCCACCCAGGTGCTGCAGTGGCGACTCTGCTTGGGGACCTGGGGAGTGTCGATGACCAGGGAGTTCTAAATGACCAGTGGTCAGTGGTCAGTGACCATGAGGTGACCACCACAGTGACCGCCTGGCCAGCCCAGGTGACCCCACCCAGGTGCCGAACCGGTGTCCATCATCAGCACGTTCTGAGTGGACAATGACCAATGGTCACTCCAGGTGACCCCACCCAGGTGCTGAACCGGTGTCCATCACCAGCACGTTCTGAGTGGACAATGACCAATGGTCACTCCAGGTGACCCCGCCCAGGTGCTGAACCGGTGTCCATCACCAGCATGTTCTGAGTGGACAATGACCAATGGTCACTCCAGGTGACCACTGCGGTGACCGTGCCTGGGGCCTGTCCATCACCAACGTGCCCTGAGTGGTCAGTGATCACTTGAGTGGTCAGTGGTCACTCCAGGTGACCACCGCGGTGACCGTGCCTGCGGCTGCGTCCATCGCCAACGTGCTCTGAGTGGTCAGTGGTCACTCCAGGTGACCACACCCACCTGACCACACCCAGGTGTCCCCACCCCAGATAATCTAATTCAGGTGACCACACCAAAGTGACCACACCAAAGTGACCACACCCAGGAGTGACCACACCCAGTTGACCACGCCCAGGTGCGGAACCAGTGTCCATCACCAGCGTGTTCTGAGTGGACAACGGTCACTGGTCACTCCAGGTGACCACGCCCACCCAAGTGTGTCCATCCAAGTGACCACGCCCACCCAGGTGTGTCCATCCAAGTGACCCCGCCCACCCAAGTGTGTCCATCCAAGTGACCACGCCCCCCAAGGTGTGTCCATCCCACATAGCTGGGTCCGTCCCACCCAGGTGGTTCCATCCAGGTAACCCCACCCACCCAGGTGTGTCCATGCAGGTAACCCCGCCCACCATCCAGGTGTGTCTGTCCTACCCGGGTGACTCCGCCCACCCAGGTGTGTCCATCCCAGGTGACATCCATACAGGTGACTCCGCCCACCATCCAGGTGTGTTGTTCCCACCCAGGTGTGTCCATGCAGGTGACTCCGCCCACCATCCAGGTGTGTCTGTCCCACCCAGGTGTGTCCATGCAGGTGTGGCCCCGCCCCCCCAGGTGTGGCCCCGCCCCCGCCCCCAGGTGCAGCCCCGCCCCCACCTTGCTGTTGAGCAGCTCCAGGTCCAGGTCGGCTTTCTTGGCCCATTTCTGCCAGAAGTTGGGGTCGTCCAGCGCGATGTCCGTGCGGTTCTCCGAGGCCACGAAGCTGGCCTGGGGCGGGACAGGGCACACCTGGGCACACCTGGGCACACCTGGGCACACCTGGGTGCACCTGGGCGCACCTGGGTGTACCTGGTGCCTCCCCAGGGCCACCTGGGTGTGCCCAGACACAGCTGCACCTTCTCTAGGACCACCAAAACCCACCTGGAGCTGCTCCAGGACCACCTGAGATCACCTGAACCCACCTGGATCTTCTGCAGAGCCACCTGAGATCACCTGAACCCACCTGGAGCTGCTCCAGGACCACCAAAGCTCACCTGAACCCACCTAAACCAACCTGGACTTTCTACAGGACCACCAAAGCTCACCTGAACTCACCTAAACCCACCTGGATCTTCTGCAGGGCCACTAGAGATCACCTGAACCCACCTGGATCTTCTCTAGAACCACCAGAACTCACCTGAACCCACCTACGCCCACCTGGATCTTCTCTAGGACCACCTGGCCCCACCTGGATCTTCTCTAGAACCACCAGAACTCACCTGAACCCACCTAAACCAACCTGGACCTTCTCCAAGGCCACCAAAGCCCACCTAGGCCCACCTGAACCTTCTGTAGAACCACCAAAGCCCACCTGAACTCACCTAGACCTTCTCTAGGACCACCTGGACCTTCTCAATGACCACCAAAGCCCACCTGAACCCACCTAAACCAACCTGGACCTTCTCTAGGACCATCCAACCCCACCTGGACCTTCTCTAGAACCACCAAAGATCACCTGAACCCACCTGAACCTTCTCTAGAACCACTAAAGCTCACCTGAACCCACCTAAACCAACCTGGACCTTCTCTAGGACCATCCAACCCCACCTGGACCTTCTCCAGAACCACCAAAGCCCACCCAGACCCACCTGGAACCACCAAAGCCCCCCTAGACCCACCTGGACCTTCTCTAGAACCACCAAAGCCCACCTAGACCTGGATTTGAGGTGCCCACCTCCTCCAGGAACCTCCCTGGTGCCCACCCGGCCCCGCCCGGCCCCGCCCACCTTGGCGAAGGTGGAGCCCTTGCCCTCGCTCTCGATGGTGATGGTGGTGGTGCGCCGCAGCAGGATCTGCTCGATGTCCTCCTCGCAGAACTTGGCGCCCTCGTCGTCCTCGTCCATGATGGCGGCGTAGGCGCCCTTGCGCAGGAGGTCCTCGATCTCCTTCTTGGAGAACTGCTGGATCTGGGGGGACAATGGGGACAATTGGAGAAACCAGGGTGGAAAAACCAGAACTGGAGAAACCCAGGGTGGAGAGGAGAACCCAAAACTGGAGAAACCAAAACTGGAGAAACCCAGGGTGGAAAAACCAGAACTGGAGAAACCCAGGGTGGAGAGGAGAACCCAAAACTGGAGAAACCCACGGTTGGGACACCACGAGGGGCTTGGAGAAACCCAGGGTGGAGAGACCAGAACGGGAGAAACCAAAACTGGAGAAACCCAGGGTGGAGAGACCAGAACTGGAGAGACCAGAACTGGAGAAACCCAGGGTTGGGACACACGAGGGGCTTGGAGAAACCAGGGTGGAGAAACCACGAGGGGCTTGGAGAAACCTGGGGTTGGGACACACAAGGGGCTTGGAGAAACCAGAACTGGAGAAACCAAAACTGGAGAAACCCAGGGTGGAGAACCCATGAGGGGCTTGGAGAAACCAGGGTGGAGAGACCAGAACTGGAGAAACCAAAACTGGAGAGACCAAAACTGGAAAACCCCAAAGTGGAGAAACCCAAAGTGGAGAAACCAAAACTGGAGAACCCCAGGGTGGAGAGGAGAACCCAAAACTGAAAAAAAACCAAAACTGGGAGAACCTGGACAAGCTCAACCTGGAGAAACCCAAAGTGGAGAACCCAAAACTGGGAGAACCTCAACCTGGAGATCATGGACAGGCTCAACCTGGAGAACCTCAATCGGGAGAAACCAAAACTGGAGAACCCAAAACTGGAGAACCCAAAGTGGAGAACCGAAACTGGAGAACATGGACAGGCTCAACCTGGAGAACTCAAAACTGGAGAAACCAAAACTGGAGAAACTAAAACTGGAGAACTTCAACTGGGAGATCATGGACAGGCTCAAACTGGAGAACCTCAATCGGGAAAAACCAAAACTGGAGAAGCCAAAAGTGGAGAACCTCAACCTGGAGAACCCCAAAGTAGAGAAACCAGAAGTGGAGAACCCAAAACTGAAGAACCTCAACTGGAGAACCCAAAACTGGAGAACCCAAAAGTGGAGAACCCAAGACTGGGAGGACCTTAACCTGGAGATCATGAACCTCAACCTGGAGAACCTCAACCTGGAGAAACCCAAACTGGAGAAACTCAACTTGAAGAAACCTGGAGAACCTGGAGAACCTGAACTTAAAGAACCTGGAGAACCTCAACCTAGAGAACCTGGAAAACCTGAACTTTGGAAAACATAGAGAACCTGAACTTAAAGAACCTGGAGAACCTGGAGAACCTCAACTTCAAGGAATCTGGAGAACCTCAACTTTGGAGAACCTGAAGAACCTGGAGAACTTTAAAGAACCTGGAGAACCTCAACTTATAGAACCTGGAGAACCTGGAGAACCTCAACTTGAAGCACCTGGAGAACCTTAACCTAAAGAACCTGGAGAACCTCAACTTTGGAGAACCTCAACTTGAAGAACCTGGAGAACCTGGACAACCTGAAAAAACCTGGAGAACCTCTACTTAACCTGGAGAACCTCAACCTAAAGAACCTGGACAACCTGAAGAACCTCAACTTTGGAGAACCTGGAGAACCTGGAAAACCTGAAAAAACCTGGAGAACATCAACTTAACCTCAAGAACCTCAACCTAAAGAACCTGGAGAACCTCAACTTGAAGCACCTGGAGAACCTCAACTTTGGAGAACCTCAACTTGAAGAACCTGGAGAACCTGAAAAAACCTGGAGAACATCAACTTAACTCCAAGAACCTCAACCTAAAGAACCTGGAGAACCTGGAGAACCTCAACTTTGGAGAACCTGGACAACCTCAACCTGGAGAACCTGGAGCACCTGGAGACCTCAACCCTGGACCCCCCCAGCCCTGGACCCCCCACCCTGGAGCCCTGCCCGGGGCTGACCCCGGCGATGGAGCCCTCGCGGCCGCTCATGGACTGGAGCACGGCCTTGTCCAGGCCCAGCTTCAGGCTGGCCTTGTCGAACATCTCGCGCTCGTACGAGTTCCTGGTGATCAGCCTGTAGACCTTCACCGCCTTGCTCTGCCCGATGCGGTGGCACCGCGCCTGCGCCTGCGGGGACGTCACGGGGGGACATGGAGGATGGTGGGGCCCGGCCCAGGACACCAAACCCCTGGGAGATCCCATCCCACCACACCAAACCCCTGGGAGATCCCATCCATCATCTCCAAACCCCTGGGAGATCCCATCCCAGGACCTGAAACCCCTGGGAGATCCCATCCCACCACACCAAACCCTTGGGAGATCCCATCCCAGGACCTGAAACCCCTGGGAGATCCCATCTCACCACACCAAACCCTTGGGAGATCCCATCCCACCACACCAAACCACACCCCAGGACCTCAAACCCCTGGGAGATCCCATTCCATCATCTCCAACCCTTGGGAGATCCCCTCTTGTGACCCTAAACTCCACCCTAGGACCTCAAACCCTTGGGAGATCCCATCCCACCACCCCAAACGCTTGGTAGATCCCATCCCATCATCTCCAACCCTTGGAGAACCTCATCCCAAGACCTCACACCCCATCCCACCACACCAAACTCTTGGTAGATCCCATCCCATGACCTCAAACCCCACCCCATGACCCCAAACCCTTGGTAGACCCCACCTCACCACCCCAAACCCTTGGTAGATCCCACCTCACAACCCAAACCCTTTGTAGATCCCATCCCATGACCTCAACCCCCACCCCATGACCCCAAACTCTTGGCAGACCCCATCCCACCACTCCATGACCTCAAACTCTTGGTAGATCCCACCTCACCACCTTAAACTCTTGGTTGATCCCATCCCAAGATCTTGAACCCTTGGTAGATCCCATCGCACCACCCCATGACCTCAAAACCTTGATAGATCCTGTCTCACCATCCCAAACCCTTGTAGCTCCCATCCCATGTCCTCAAACCCTTGGTAGACCCCATCCAATGACCCCAAACCCTTGGCAGACCCCACCGCATGATCTCAAACCCTCTGCAGATCCCATCCCATCATCTCCAGTCCCTCCAGAACCTCCTCCCGTGACCCCAAACCCCACCCCATGACCCCAAACCCTTGGTAGACCCCACCTCACCACCCCAAACCCTCTGCAGATCCCACCCCATCATCTCAGGTCCCTCCAGAACCTCCTCCCATGACCCCAAGCCCTTTGCAGACCCCACCCCATGACCCCAAACCCTTGGTAGATCCCACCCCATCATCTCGGGTCCCTCCAGAACCGCCTCCCATGACCCCAAACCCCACCCCATGACCCCAAACCCTTGGTAGATCCCACCCCATCATCTCGGGTCCCTCCAGAACCGCCTCCCATGACCCGAAACCACACCCCATGACCTCAAACCCTTGGCAGACCCCACCTCACCACCCCAAACCCTCTGTAGATCCCACCCCATGACCCCAAACCCTGGGCAGACCCCACCCCATGACCTCAAACCCTCTGTAGATCCCATCTCACCACCCCAAACCCTCTGTAGATCCCACCCCAGGCTCTCCGGTCCCTCCAGAACCTCCTCCCGTGACCCCAAACCCCACCCCATGACCCCAAACCCTTTGCAGACCCCACCCCATGATCTCAAACCCTCTGCAGACCCCACCCCATCATCCCAGGTCCCTCCAGAACCTCCTCCCGTGACCCCAAACCCTTGGTAGACCCCACCCCATGACCCCAAACCCTCTGTAGATCCCACCCCATGACCCCAAACCCTCTGCAGACCCCACCCCATCATCTCTGGTCCCTCCAGAACTTCCTCCCATGACCCCAAACCCTCTGTAGATCCCACCCCATCATCTCAAGTCCCTCCAGAGCCTCCTCCCGTGACCCCAAACCCCACCCCATGACCCCAAACCCTCTGCAGGCCCCACCTCACCACCCCAAACCCTTGGTAGACCCCATCTAACCACCCCAAACCCTCTGTAGATCCCACCCCATGACCCCAAACCCTCTGCAGACCCCACCCCATCATCTCAGGTCCCTCCAGAGCCTCCTCCCATGACCCCAAACCCTCTGCAGACCCCACCCCATCATCTCAGGTCCCTCCAGAGCCTCCTCCCATGACCCCAAACCCTCTGCAGACCCCACCCCATCATCTCAGGTCCCTCCAGAGCCTCCTCCTCCCGTGACCCCAAACCCCACCCCATGACCCCAAACCCTCTGCAGACCCCACCCCATCATCTCAGGTCCCTCCAGAGCCACCTCCTCCCGTGACCCGGCGCGGCCCCGGGGCGGCACCTGGAGGTCGTTCTGGGGGTTCCAGTCCGAGTCGAAGATGATGCAGGTGTCGGCGGCCGTCAGGTTGATGCCCAGCCCGCCCGCCCGCGTGCACAGCAGGAACACGAACCGGTCCGAGTCCGGACGGCTGAAGCGGTCGATGGCGGCCTGGCGCAGGTTGCCCCGGACACGCCCGTCGATGCGCTCGTACGGGTACCTGGGGGGACACCAAGGGGTCACCGCGGCCACCGGGCAGCCCCGGGGCTCCAAAACCACCTCCAGAAGACACCAGGGAGCTCTGGGGCACCATAACCACGTCCAGGAAGCACCAAGCAGCTCCAGGGCTCCATAACCACATCCAGGAGCCACCAGGGCTCCATAACCACCTCCAGGAGACACCAGGGAGCTCCAAGAGCCACCAGGGAGCTCCAGGGCTCCATAACCACATCCAGGAGACACCAGGGCTCCATAACCACCTCCAGGAGCCACCGGGGAGCTCCAGGAGCCACCAGGGAGCTCCAGGGCTCCATAACCACCTCCAGGAGACACCAGGGAGTTCCAGGAGACACCAGGGAGCTCCAGGGCTCCATAACCACGTCCAGGAGCCACCAGGGAGCTCCAGGGCTCCATAACCACCTCCAGGAGACACCAGGGCTCCATAACCACGTCCAGGAGCCACCAGGGCTCCATAACGACCTCCAGGAGCCACCAGGGACCTCCAGGGCTCCGTAACCACCTCCAGGAGCCACCAGGACTCCATAACCACGTCCAGAGCAGATCCTGGGTGTGGAGGAGCCACCAGGGAGCTCCGGGGCTCCAAAACCACGTCCACCCATTTCCCCCCAATTCTTTCCCGTTTTTTTCCCAAAATCTCCATTTTTCGCCCCAAACCCTGACCATTTGTGGATGAGGTGGACCTCCAGGATGTCCCATTTTCCCCACATTTCTCCTCATTTCTCCTCACATTTTCTGCTCATTTTTCTGCAGTTTTTTACCCAAAATCCCCATTTTTCCCCCCAAACCCCCCGTTTTTCCCCAAAACCGCCCGTTTTCTCCCCAAACCCTGACCGTTTCTGGATGAGGTGGTCCTCCAGGATGTCCCATTTTCCCCACATTTTCTCCTCATTACTCCCCATTCTTTTTCCATTTTTTTACCCAAAATCCCCGTTTTTCCCCCCAAACCCCCGTTTTTTCCCAAAACCGCCCGTTTTCTCCCCAAACCCTGACCGTTTCTGGATGAGGTAGTCCTCCAGGATGTCCAGGCACCGCACCATCTGCGAGAACACCAGCACCTTGTGTCCGCCGGCGCGCAGCCGGGGCAGGAGCTTGTCCAGCAGCACCAACTTCCCGGCCGAGCGCACCAGGGCCTGCAGCGCCAGCTCGGGCCCGGGCAGCGCCGGCAGCGACGCCCTGAGCTCGGCCACGATCTGCTCCTCCGCACCTGCGGGCACACGTCACACCTGAGCGCTGCCTCCCCTGGCTCCGAGAAACCATCACTGACCACCCCTGGCTCCATAAAACCACCGGTGACCACCACTGGTTCCATAAAAAACCCATAAGAACTTCAGGAGAACCTCAGGAGAACATCAATGATCATCAATAGCTCCATCAAACAATGGGTGAGAACTTCAGGAGAAGGTTGGTGACTGTCCCTGACTACCCCTGGCTCCATAAAACCACCACTGACCACCCCTGGTTCCATAAAAAACCCATAAGAACTTCAGGAGAACCTCAGGAGAACATCAATGATCATCAATAGCTCCATCAAACAATGGGTGAGAACTTCAGGAGAAGGTTGGTGACCATCCCTGACCACCCCTGGCTCCATAAAACCACCACTGACCACCCCTGGTTCCATAAAATACCCGTAAGAACCTCAGGAGAACATCAATGGTTCCATCAAAACATCTCTGAGAGCTTTGGGAGAATGGTGGTGACCATCACCGACCACCCCTGGCTCCATAAAACCAGCAGCGACCACCCCATGTTCCATAAAAAACCCATAAGAACGTCAGGAGAACCTCAGGAGAACATCAATGACCATCAATGGTTCCATCAAAACATCTCTGAGAGCTTCAGGAGAACGTTGGTGACCATCACTGACCACCCCTGGTTCCATAAAACCACCGCTGACCACCCCTGGTTCTATAAAATGTCCATAAAAACCTCAGGAGAACATCAATGGTTCCATCAAAACATCTCTGAGAGCTTCGGGAGAAGGTTGGCTTCCATCACCAACCACCCCTGGCTCCATAAAACCACCGGTGACCATCAGTGGTTCCATGAAATGTCCATAAGAACCTCAGGAGAACATCAATGGTTCCATCAAAACACCTCTGAGAACTTCGGGAGAAGGTTGGTGACCATCCCTGACCACCCCTGGTTCCATAAAACCACCGGTGACTACCCCTGGTTCCATAAAAAACCCATAGGAACTTCAGGAGAACCTCAGGAGAACATCAATGACCATCAACGGTTCCATCAAAACATCTCTGAGAACTTCAGGAGAATATTGGTGACCATCACTGACTACCCCTGGCTCCATAAAACCACCGGTGACCACCCCTGGTTCCATAAAAAACCCATAAGAACTTCAGGAGAACCTCAGGAGAACATCAATGACCATCAATGGTTCCATCAAACAGTGGCTGAGAACTTTGGGAGAACGTTGGTGACCATCACTGACCACCAGAGGTTCCATAAAACCACCAGTGATCACCACTGACCGCTCATGGTTTCATAAAAAACCCGTAAGAACCTCAGGAGAACATCAATGATCATCAACAGCTCCATCAAACAATGGCTGAGAACTTCGGGAGAACGTTGGTGACCATCCCCGACCACCAGAGGTTCCACAAAACCACCTTTGAGAACTTCAGGAGAACATCCCTGACCACCCCTGACCCTCAGTGACCATCACTGACCACCCCTGGCCCTCAGTGACCATCACTGGTTCCACCAAAGCACCCTGAGACCTTCAGGTGACCATCACTGGTTCCATCATGGTGTTGAGCAGGTGTGTGTATGTGTACCCAGGTGTACCCCAGGTGTGCCCAGGTGTGCCCAGGTGCGTGCTCACCGTTGATGAGGTAGGGGTGGTTGCAGCACTTGCGCAGCTCCATCATGGTGTGAGCAGGTTGGGCACGTTGCCATGCCCAGGTGTGTCTATGTGTACCCAGGTGTGCCCAGGTCTATCTATGTGTGTCTATCTGTACCCAGGTGTACCCAGGTGTGCCCAGGTGTGCCCAGGTGTGCCCAGGTGCACACAGGTGCTCACCGTTGATGAGGTAGGGGTGGTTGCAGCACTTGCGCAGCTCCATCATGGTGTTGAGCAGGTTGGGCACGTTGCCATGCCCAGGTGTGTACCCCAGGTGTATCTATGTGTACCCAGGTGTGTACCCAGGTGTGCTCACCGTTGATGAGGTAGGGGTGGTTGCAGCACTTACGCAGCTCCATCATGGTGTTGAGCAGGTGTGTGTATGTGTGCCCAGGTGTGTACCCAGGTGTGTCCATGCATACCCAGGTGTATCTATGTGTACCCAGGTGTGCCCAGGTGTATCTGTGTGTACCCAGGTGTGTGCCCAGGTGTGTGCTCACCGTTGATGAGGTAGGGGTGGTTGCAGCACTTGCGCAGCTCCATCACGGTGTTGAGCAGGTGTGTGTATGTGTGCCCAGGTGTACCCAGGTGTACCCCAGGTGTATCTATGTGTGTCTATCTGTACCCAGGTGTATCTATGTGTGTCTATCTGTACCCAGGTGTATCTGTGTGTACCTGCCCAGGTGTGTGCTCACCATTGATGAGGTAGGGGTGGTTGCAGCACTTGCGCAGCTCCATCATGGTGTTGAGCAGGTTGGGCACATTGCCATGCCCAGGTGTGTACCCCAGGTGTATCTGTGTATATCTATCTGTGCCCAGGTGTGCCCAGGTGCACACAGGTGCTCACCATTGATGAGGTAGGGGTGGTTGCAGCACTTGCGCAGCTCCATCATGGTGTTGAGCAGGTTGGGCACGTTGCCGTGCCCAGGTGTGTACCCCAGGTGTATCTATATGTACCCCAGGTGTGTCTATGTGTCTCTATCTGTACCCAGGTGTGCCCAGGTGCCCCCAGGTGTGCTCACCGTTGATGAGGTAGGGGTGGTTGCAGCACTTGCGCAGCTCCATCAGGGTGTTGAGCAGGTGTGCCCAGGTGTGTGTATGTGTGCCCAGGTGTGCCCAGGTGTGCCCAGGTGTACCCAGGTGTGCCCAGGTGCCCCCAGGTGTGCTCACCGTTGATGAGGTAGGGGTGGTTGCAGCACTTGCGCAGCTCCATCATGGTGTTGAGCAGGTGTGTGTATGTGTGCCCAGGTGTACCCCAGGTGTACCCCAGGTGTGTACCCAGGTGTGCCCAGGTGTGCCAGGTGTGTGCTCACCGTTGATGAGGTAGGGGTGGTTGCAGCACTTGCGCAGCTCCATCATGGTGTTGAGCAGGTGTGCCCAGGTGTATCTATGTGTACCCCAGGCGTGTCTATGTGTATCTATGTGTACCCAGGTGTACCCAGGTGTACCCAGGTGTATCTGTGTGTACCTGCCCAGGTGTGTGCTCACCATTGATGAGGTAGGGGTGGTTGCAGCACTTGCGCAGCTCCATCATGGTGTTGAGCAGGTTGGGCACGTTGCCGTGCCCCGCCCCGCGCGCCAGGTAAGCGAAGTTGCGCTCCAGGATGGCGCGGTACAGGCGCTTCTGGGCGTTGGTCAGCTCCACCTCGATGATCGTCTCCTGCTTGGGCGCCAGGTTCTTCTCCACGTCCTCCTTGAGCCGCCGCAGCATCATCGGCTTCAGCAGCGCCTGCAGCTTCTGCACCTGCCGGGGGGGAACGCGCACCTGTCACACCTGGGCACACCTGGGCAGGGTTACAGCCACACCTGGCACACCTGTCACACCTGTCACACCTGGGCCAAGTGTGCAAGGTGCCCAGAGGTGGCTATGGGGAGTTACAGGCACACCTGTGACACCTGGGCGAGGTGTGGGAAGTGCCCAGAGGTGGCTATGGCGAGTTACAGCCACACCTGTGGCACCTGGGTGGGGTTACAGCCACACCTGTTGTACCTAGGTATGGTTACAGCCACACCTGTGATACCTGGGTAAGGTGTGCAAGGTGCCCAGAGGTGGCTATGAGGAGTTACAGCCACACCTGTCACACGTGGGTGGGGTTACAGCCACACCTGTGGTAGCTGGGCAAGGTTACAGCCACACCTGGCACACCTGGGTGGGGTTACAGCCACACCTGGCACACCTCGGTGAGGTTACAGCCACACCTGTGGTACCTGGGCATGGTTAGGACCACACCTGTGATACCTGGGCGAGGTGCAGGAGGTGCCCACAGGTGGCTACAAGGAGTTATGGCCACACCTGCCTCACCTGGCCACACCTGGGCAAGGGTAAGGAAATCCGTAACCTGCTCAGGTGTGCCCAGGTGAGCCCCAATCTCCTCTCTAAGGCCATGCAACGACCTCAAACCCCACCCAAACCCTCCCCAGGTACGGCAGGTACACCCAGGTGTCACGCCCAGGTGTGCCCAGGTGAGGCCAAAACCCCTCCCAAGAACCATCAAAGGACCTCAAACCCCACCCAAACCCTCCCCAGGTACACCCAGGTGTGTTCTAACCGTGCCCAGGTGTCCCCAGGTGTGTTCTGACCATGCCCAGGTGTCCCCAGGTGTGTTTTGGGTGTGCCCAGGTGAGCCCCAAACTCCTCTCTAAGGCCATGAAAACACCTCAAACCCCTCCCAACCCTCCCCAGGTACACCCGGGTGTGTTCTGAGCATGCCCAGGTGCGCCCAGGTGTGCCCAGGTGAGCCCAGGTGCGCCCCTCACCTGCTCCTCGGTCTTGAGGTCGCCGAAGTCCTTGAGGAACTCGGCCTCGGACGGGAACTGGGAGGGCTCCAGGAAGTGCAGGAGGCTGAAGAGCTCCTCGACCGTGTTCTGCAAAGGTGTGCCTGTCAACAGCACCTTGTGCTCCTACAGGTGAGACAGGTGAGACAGGTGAGACAGGTAAGGGAAAATAACAGAGATAATGCCGTAAAATGGGGTAAAAAACTGATACAGGTGAGGTAAAACTGGGACAGGTGGGGCTGGAGAGCTCCTCGACCGTGTTCTGCAAAGGTGTGCCCGTCAGCAGCACCTTGTGCTCCTACAGGTGAGACAGGTAACACAGGTGAGGGAAAATAACAGAGATAACGCAGGTAAAATGGGGTAAAAACTGGGACAGGTGGGGTTGGAGAGCTCCTCGACCGTGTTCTGCAAAGGTGTGCCCGTCAACAGCACCTTGTGCTCCTGCAGGTGAGACAGGTGAGAGACAGGTGAGACAGGTAAGGGAAAAAATGGGGTAAAAAACTGATACAGGTGAGGGAAAACTGGGACAGGTGAGGCTGAAGAGCTCCTGGACCGTGTTCTGCACAGGTGTGCCCGTCAGCAGCACCTTGTGCTCCTAAAGGTGAGACAGGTGAGACAGGTAAGGGAAAATAATGGGGATAACACAGGTAAAATGGGTGAAATAACTGATACAGGTGAGGTAAAACTGGGACAGGTGAGGCTGGAGAGCTCCTGGACCGTGTTCTGCACAGGTGTGCCCGTCAACAACACCTTGTGCTCCTGCAGGTGAGACAGGTAAGGGAAAATAATGGGGATAACACAGGTAAAATGGATGAAATAACTGATACAAGTGAGGTAAAACTGGGACAGGTGGGGCTGAAGAGCTCCTCGACCGTGTTCTGCAAAGGTGTGCCCGTCAGCAGCACCTTGTGCTCCTAAAGGTGAGACAGGTAACACAGGTGAGGGAAAATAACAGAGATAACGCAGGTAAAATGGGGTAAAAACTGGGACAGGTGAGGCTGAAGAGCTCCTCAACCGTGTTCTGCACAGGTGTGCCCGTGAGCAGCACCTTGTGCTCCTGCAGGTGAGACAGATAAGGGACAGGTGAGGGACAGGTGAGACAGGTGAGGGAAAATAATGGATAAAACACAGGTAAAATGGGGTAAAAACTGGGGCAGGTGGGGCTGAAGAGCTCCTGGGCCGTGTTCTGCACAGGTGTGCCCGTCAGCAGCACCTTGTGCTCCTGCAGGTGAGACAGGTGAGGGACAGGTGAGGGACAGGTGAGACAGGTAAGGGAAAATAATGGGTAAAAAACTGGGACAGGTGAGGTAAAACTGGGACAGGTGAAAGACCTTGCAGTGACCCCAAACCCCACAGGTATCACCCCAAAGCCCTCAGGATGACCCTGAACCCCCTCAGGTGTGAGCTCAGGTGTGCCCAGGTAACTCAAAACCCCCCAAAATCCCCGTTTTTCACCCGTTTTTCACCTGTTTTTCACCGGGTTTTTTTTGTTTTTCCCCTCCCAGGTGTGCCCAGGTGTGTTCCCAGGTGTGCCACTGACCAGGTCCATGTGTTTGAGGCTGCCCAGCAGCTTGCATTACCTGTTCTTGAGCCGGTGTCTGTGTGCCCAGGTGACTCAAAACCCCCCAAAATCCCCATTTTTCACCCGATTTTCACCGGGTTTTTTTTGTTTTTCCCCTCCCAGGTGTGCCCAGGTGTGTTCCCAGGTGTGCCACTGACCAGATCCATGTGTTTCAGGCTGTCCAGCAGCTTGCAGTACCTGTTCTTGAGCTGGTGTTTGTGTGCCCAGGTAACTCAAAACCCCCCCAAAATCCCCGTTTTTCCCCCATTATTCACCCGATTTTCACCCGATTTTCACGGGGTTTTTTCTGTCCCTCCCCTCCCAGGTGTGCCCAGGTGCGCTCCCAGGTGTGCCACTGACCAGGTCCATGTGTTTCAGGCTGTCCAGCAGCTTGCTGTGTGACCCCAAAATCCCCGATTTTCACCCGTTTTTCACCCGTTTTTCCCCCGTTTTTCCCCCATTTTTCACCCGATTTTCACCGGGTTTTTTTTGTTTTTCCCCTCCCAGGTGTGCCCAGGTGTGTGCCCAGGTGTGCCACTGACCAGGTCCATGTGTTTCAGGCTGCCCAGCAGCTTGCATTACCTGTTCTTGAGCCGGTGTTTGTGTGCCCAGGTGACTCAAAACCCCCCAAAATCCCCGTTTTCCACCCATTTTTCACCCGATTTTCACCGGGTTTTTTCACTCCTCCCCGCCCAGGTGTGCCCAGGTGTGTTCCCAGGTGTGCCACTGACCAGGTCCATGTGCTTGAGGCTGTCCAGCAGCTTGCAGTGCTGGTTCTTGAGCCGGTGTGTGACCCCAAAATCCCCGATTTTCACCCATTTTTCACCCGATTTTCACCGGGTTTTTTCTGTCCCTCCCCTCCCAGGTGTGCCCAGGTGCGTTCCCAGGTGTGCCACTGACCAGGTCCATGTGCTTGAGGCTGCCCAGCAACTTGCTGTGTGACCCTAAAATCCCCGATTTTCACCCATTTTTCACCCTTTTTCCCCCATTTTTCACCCGATTTTCACCGGGTTTTTTTTGCTCCTCCCCTCCCAGGTGTGCCCAGGTGCGCTCCCAGGTGTGCCACTGACCAGGTCCATGTGTTTCAGGCTGTCCAGCAGCTTGCAGTGGCGGTTCTTGAGCCGGTGCGCCTCGTCGATGACCACGCAGCGCCACTGGACCTCGCGCAGCTCGGGGCAGTCGGACAGGATCATCTCAAAGGTGGTGATGAGGGCGTCGAACTTGTACGCACCTGGGATCAGCCGGCCCTGCAGGTGACACAGGTGGGCACAGGTGAGGCACAGGTGGGTTACAGGTGTGTGAGCTCACCTGGCTGCCATTTGAGGGGTTCTGTGGGGCTGAATCACCTGCCAGGCTGTCATGGTACACCATGGTGTGTGTACAGGTGTGTCACAGCTGTGTAACAGGTGAGGCACAGGTAAGTTACAGGTGTGGGAGCTCACCTGGCGGCCGTTTGAGGGCGTTTTGTGCTGCTGGATCACCTGCCAGGTTGGTGTGGTACACCCTGATGTGTGTACAGGTGAGTACAGGTGAGGCACAGGTGAGTTACAGGTAACACAGGTGAGCTCACCTGGCTGCCATTTGAGGGGTTTTGTGGCACTGGATCACCTGCCAGGTTGCTGTGGTACACCATGGTGTGTGCACAGGTGAGGCACAGGTGAGGCACAGGTGTGTTATAGGGGCACAGGTGAGCTCACCTGGCTGCCATTTGAGGGGGTTTTGTGGTGCTGGATCACCTGCCAGGTTGGTGTGGTACACCTTGATGTGTGTACAGGTGTGTTACAGGTGTGTCACAGGTGTGTGCAGGTCTGTTACAGGTAACACAGGTGAGATCACCTGGCTGCCATTTGAGGGGGTTTTGTACTGCTGGATCACCTGCCGGCTGGCCAGGCTGCACAGGTGTGTCAGTGACCCCATACAGGTGTGTCACACACCCCATACAGGTGTATTGTACACACAATACAGGTGTGTCACACACCCCATACAGGTGATTTACCTGCCCAGGTGAGCTCACCTTGCCGTCCTTGCAGTACATCTCGTACTGCTGGATCATCTGCCGGCTGGCCAGGCTGCACAGGTGTGTCACAGACCCCATACAGGTGTATTGTACACCCCATACAGGTGTGTTACAGGTGTGTTACAGGTGTGTTACAGGTGATTTACCTGCCCAGGTGAGCTCACCTTGCCGTCCTTGCAGTACATCTCGTACTGCTGGATCATCTGCCGGCTGGCCAGGCTGCACAGGTGTGTCACACACCCCATACAGGTGTATCACAGACCCCATACAGGTGTATCACACACACAGGTGTGCCCCAGGTGAGCTCACCTTGCCGTCCTTGCAGTACATCTTGTACTGCTGGCTCACCTGCCGGCTGGCCAGGCTGCACAGGTGTGTCAGTGACCCCATACAGGTGCATTACAGACCCCACACAGGTGTGTTACAGGTGTATTACAGGTGATTTACCCGCCCAGGTGAGCTCACCTTGCCGTCCTTGCAGTACATCTCGTACTGCTGGATCATCTGCCGGCTGGCCAGGCTGCACAGGTGTGTCACACACCCCATACAGGTGTATCACAGACCCCATACAGGTGTGTTCCAGGTGTGTTACCTGCCCAGGTGAGCTCACCTTGCCGTCCTTGCAGTACATCTCGTACTGCTGGCTCACCTGCCGGCTGGCCAGGCTGCACAGGTGTGTCACAGGTGTATTGTACACCCCATACAGGTGTGTTACACACACAATACAGGTGTATCACAGACCCCATACAGGTGTGTCACACACACAGGTGTGCCCCAGGTGAGCTCACCTTGCCGTCCTTGCAGTACATCTCGTACTGCTGGATCACCTGCCGGCTGGCCAGGCTGCACAGGTGTGTCAGTGACCCCATACAGGTGTATTGTACACACAATACAGGTGTGTCACAGACCCATACAGGTGTATCACAGGTGATTTACCTGCCCAGGTGAGCTCACCTTGCTGTCCTTGCAGTACATCTCGTACTGCTGGATCATCTGCCGGCTGGCCAGGCTGCACAGGTGTGTCACAGGTGTGTCACAGACCCCATACAGGTGTTTTACCTGCCCAGGTGAGCTCACCTTGCCGTCCTTGCAGTACATCTCGTACTGCTGGATCATCTGCCGGCTGGCCAGGCTGCCGTGGTACACGATGGTGTTCAGGTGCGTCCAGGTGCCGAACTCGCGCTCCCAGTTGGCGATGGTGGAGAGCGGCGCGATCACCAGGTAGGGGCCGCGCACACCTGCGCCGTGCACCTCCTGCAGGAACGCGATCGACTGGATCGTCTTGCCCAGCCCCATCTCGTCCGCCAGGATGCAGTTCTGCCTGCGGGACAGGTGCGACAGGTGAGGCACACCTGGCACAGGTAAAGGACACCTGGGGTACACCTGGGATGGGTGGGGTACACCCGGGGGTACACCTGGCACAGGTGAGGTACACCTGAGGGACAGGGGTTGGTCTTGCCCAGCCCCATCTCGTCCGCCAGGATGCAGTTCTGCCTGCGGGACAGGTGCGACACGTGAGGCACACCTGGGATGGGTAAGGTACACCTGGGGTACACCTGGCACAGGTGAGGTACACCTGGGGGACAGGTGAGGTACACCTGGGGTACACCTGGGATGGGTAAGGTACACCTGGGGTACACCTGGCACAGGTGAGGTGCACCTGAGGGACAGGGGTTGGTCTTGACAGCAGTTCTGCCTGCGGGACAGGTGCGACAGGTGAGGCACACCTGAGACAGGTAAGGTACACCTGGGGGACAGGTGAGGTACACCTGAGGTACGCCTGGGATACACCTGGCACAGGTGAGGTACACCTGGCATGGGTAAGGTACACGTGGGATACACCTGGGACGGGTAAGGCACACCTGGAACAGGTGAGGTACACATGGGATACACCTGGGACAGGTAAGGTACAGTAGGGGTACACCTGGCACAGGTAAGGTACACCTAAGACAGGTGAGATACACCTGGGATGGGTAAGGTACACCTGGGGTACACCTGGCACAGCTAAGCTACACCTGGAACACACCTAGGACAAGTAACAGACCAGGTGCTCTCACCTGTCCCAGGTGTGTTTACCTGTCCCAGGTGTTCCCCAGCTGTTTATCCATTCCCAGCCCCATTTACCTGCCCCAGGTGAGCTCACCTGTTGTACCAGTTGAAGAGCAGCCAGTTCACACCCTCCAGCTGGTATTCCCTGAGCTGGTACCCTCACCTGTCCCAGCCATTCCCAGGTGTGTATATCCATTCCCAGGTGTGTTTACCTGTCCCAGGTGTGTTTATCCATTCCCAGGTGTGTTTATCCATTCCCAGGTGTGCCCAGGTGAGCTCACCTGTTGTACCAGTTGAAGAGCAGCCAGTTGACGCCCTCCAGCTGCTATTCCCTGAGCCGGTACCCTCACCTGTCCCAGGTGTTCCCAGGTGTGTTTATCCATCCCCAGGTGTGTTTACCTGCCCCAGGTGAGCTCACCTGTTGTACCAGTTGAAGAGCAGCCAGTTGACGCCCTCCAGCTGCTATTCCCTGAGCTGGTACCCTCACCTGTCCCAGCCATTCCCAGGTGTGTTTATCCATCCCCAGGTGTGCCCAGGTGAGCTCACCTGTTGTACCAGTTGAAGAGCAGCCAGTTGACGCCCTCCAGCTGCTATTCCCTGAGCCCATACCCTCACCTGTCCCAGGTGTGTATATCCATTCCCAGCCCCATTTACCTGCCCCAGGTGTGTTTACCTGTTGCCCAGGTGAGCTCACCTGTTGTACCAGTTGAAGAGCAGCCAGTTGACGCCCTCCAGCTGCTATTCCCTGAGCTGGTACCCTCACCTGTCCCAGGTGTTCCCAGCCCCATTTACCTGTCCCAGGTGTGTATATCCATGCCCAGGTGTGCCCAGGTGAGCTCACCTGTTGTACCAGTTGAAGAGCAGCCAGTTGACGCCCTCCAGCTGGTATTCCCTGAGCTGGTTGTGGTTCTTGTACTCGTGCGACGCCTCCAGCTTCTTCCAGGCGCCGGCCTGGGGGCGGGGCTGCACAGGTGAGACACAGGTGAGTGACAGGTGAGATAAAAACTGAACAGCTCACGCAGGTGAGACACAGGTGAGATAAAAACTGAACAGCTCACGCAGGTGAGACACAGGTGAGATAAAAACTGAACAGCTCATGCAGGTGAGACACAGGTGAGATAAAAACTGAACAGCTCATGCAGGTGAGACACAGGTGAGATAAAAATGGAACAACTCACACAGGTGAGACACAGGTGGGATACAGGTGACACACAGATGAGATAGAGGTGAGACACAGGTGAGATAAAACCAGAACAGCTCATACAGGTGGGATACAGGTGAGATAAAAAGGGAACAGCTCATACAGGTGAGTGACAGGTGAGACACAGGTGAGCGACAGGTGAGACAAAAACGGAACAGCTCACACAGGTGAGACACAGGTGAGGTACAGGTGAGCCAGGTGAGCTACAGGTGAGACACAGGTGAGGTACAGGTGAGACAGGTGAGGAATAAGTAAGGTACAGGTGAGACACAGGTGAGATACAGGTGAGCTAGCTCATACAGGTGAAACACAGGTGAGGTACAGGTGAGATAAAAAGGGAACAGCTCATACAGGTGAGACACAGGTGAGGTACAGGTGAGCCAGGTGGGACAGGTGAGATACAGGTGAGGTAACTCATACAGGTGAGACACAGGTGAGATAAAACTGGAATAGCTCATACAGGTGAGACACAGGTGAGGTACAGGTGAGGGATAGGTAAGGTACAGGTGAGACACAGGTGAGACAAGTGAAAGGTGAGACACAGGCAAGGTACAACTAAAATACAGGGGGGATAAATCACACAGGTGAGACACAGGTAAGATACGAGATACAGGTGGGACAGAGCTGAGATACACAGGTAAAACACAGGTGAGACATTAAAGAGGTACAGGTGAGACACAGATAAGGTACAGGTAAGGTACAGGTGAGTGACAGGTAAATGGTGAGACACAGGTGAGGCACAGGTGAGACATGTGCAATACAGGTGAGACACAGGTGGGACAGGTGCAGGGCTCACCTGCCGGGGGGGCGTGGCCTCACCTGCCGGGGGGCGTGGCCTCACCTGCGGGGGGCGTGGCCTCACCTGTCTCTTGAGCTCGGGGTGCCGCGCCTGGATCCGCTTGAACTCGGCCACCTTGGCCTCGTCCACGTCCTCCTGCAGCTCCCAGGTGCTGTCCTCGTATGGCAACGAGCACCACTTGACCAGGTAATAAACCACGGGCTGGGGAGACACACCTGGGCAGGTGAGTGACACCTGGGGACAGGTAACTGCCAGGTAACCCCTCCTGCAGCTCCCAGGTGCTGTCCTCGTATGGCAACGAGCACCACTTGACCAGGTAATAAACCACGGGCTGGGGAGAGACACCTGGGCAGGTGAGTGACACCTGGGGACACCTGGGTACAGGTAACTGCCAGGTAACCCCTCCTGCAGCTCCCAGGTGCTGTCCTCGTATGGCAACGAGCACCACTTGACCAGGTAATACACCACGGGCTGGGGAGAGACACCTGGGCAGGTGAGCCACACCTGGGTACAGGTGAGTGACACCTGGGTACACCTGGATACATCTGAATACACCTGGATACACCTGGACAGGTGAGTGACACCTGGGGACACCTGGATACATCTGAATACACCTGGATACACCTGGACAGGTGAGTGACACCTGGGGACACCTGGATACATCTGAATACACCTGGATACACCTGGACAGGTGAGTGACACCTGGGTACACCTGGGTACAGGTAACTGACCCCACACCTGACCAGGTAATAGACCATGGGCTGGGGAGAGACACCTGGGCAGGTGAGTGACACCTGGGTACAGGTGAGTGACACCTGGGGACAGGTGAGTGACACCTGGGTACACCTGGGTACAGGTAACTGAAACCCAGACACACCTGGGTACAGGTAACTGACACCTGGATACACCTGGGTACACCTGGGTACAGGTGAGTGACACCCAGACACACCTGGGTACACCTGGGTACACCTGAGTACAGGTAACTGACACCTGACTATGCCTGGGTACACCTGGGTACACCTGGGTACACCTGGGTACAGGGAACTGCCAGGTCACCCATTTTTTCCCCCATTTTGGTTTCTAGCACCCAAAATCCCCATTTTTCCCCAAATTTTGGCATTTTCCCACCCCAAAATCGCCATTTTTTGCCCAGTTTTTGTCCCCAGCCCCAAAATCTCCATTTTTTGCCCCGTTCTGGGCGCTGACCTCGCCGTTGTCCTTGTCCACGCTGTGGGACTCGTCCAGGATCCGATCGACCTCCACGTAGTCGGGGTTGAAGGGCTCCTCGTCCTGCCCAGAAACCCCAAAATCCCCGCGTTTGACCCCAAATCCTCATTTGCCCTCAATCCTCTGCTGTGCCCCCCAAAATCCCCATTTTTTCCCCCCAAAAATCCCAATTTTTTTCCCCCAAAACCCCCAATTTTCCCCACCAAAAATTCCCAATTTTGCTCCAAAAATCCCCAATTCTTCCCCATCAAAAATCCCCAATTTTTTCCCCCAAAAGTCCCAATTTTCCCCATCAAAAATCCCCAATTCTTCCCCAAAAAATCCCCAATTTTTTCCCCCAAAAGTCTCCAATTTTTCCCCTCAAAAATTCCCAATTTTTTCCCCAAAAATCTCCAATTCTTCCCCCTCAAATTCTCCAAATTCTTCCCCCCAAAATCCCCAATATTTTCCTCAAAAATCCCCAATTTTTTCTTCCCAAAAGTCCCCAATTCTTCCCCCAAAAATCCCCAATTTTTTCTTCCCAAAAATCCCCAATTCTTCCCCCAAAACATCCCCAATTCTTTCCCCTCAAATTCCCCAATTTTCCCCCCAAAAATCCCCAATATTTTCCTCAAAAATCCCCAATTTTTTCCCCTCAAAAATCTCAATTTTTTCCCTTCAAAAGTTCCCAATTTTTGCCCAAAACCCCTGGATTTTTCCTCCTAAAAAACCCCACTTTTTCCCCTAAAAAAAACCCCAATTTTCGCCTTAAAAAACCCAGGATTTTTCCCCCGAAAAAAACCCAATATTTCCCCCAAAAATCCCCAATTTTTTCCCCTCAAATTCCCCAATTCTTCCCCCAAAAAATTCCCAACTTCTTCACAAAAAAATCCCCAATTTTTCCCCAAAAAATCCCCAATTTTTCCCCCCAAAAATCCCCAATATTTTCCCCAAAAATTCCCAATTGTTCCCCCAAAAATTCCCAATTTTTTCCCCCAAAAATTCCCAATTTTTTCCCCCAAAAATCCCCAATTTTTTCCCCTCAAATTCCCCAATATTTCCCCCAAAATAAAAACCCCAGATTTTTCCCCCTAAAAAAACCCCAATTTTCCCCCTAAAACCCTGGATTTTTCCCCCAGAAAACCCCGGAATTTTCCCCCCAAAAAATCCCCAATTTTTCCCCCAAAAAACATCAATTTTTCCCCAAAAAATCCCCAATTTTTTCCCCCTAAAACCCCAATTTTTCCCCCCAAAATAAAAACCCCAGATTTTTCCCCCTGAAAAAACTCCAATTTTTCCCCTAAAACCCCAGATTTTTCCCCCCCTAAAACCCCATTTTTCCCCCCAAAACCCCAATTTCCTCCCCCAAAAAAACCCCAATTTTCCCCCTAAAAAAACCCATTTTTTCCCCCCAAAAAATCCCTATTTTCCCCCAAAAAATCCCCAATTTTCCCCCAAAAAAACCCCAATTTTTCCCCCAAAATAAAAACCCCAATTTTCCCCCCAAAAAACCCGGGATTTTCCCTCCAAAAAATCTCCAATTTTTCCCCAAAAATCCCCAATTTTTTCCCCTCAAATTCCCCAATTCTTCCCCCAAAAAATTCCCAACTTCTTCACAAAAAAATCCCCAATTTTTCCCCAAAAAATCCCCAATATTTCCCCCAAAATAAAAACCCCAATTTTTCCCCCAAAAAACCCCAATTTTCCCCCAAAAAACCCCAAATTTTCCCCTAAAACCCCAATTTTCCCCCCAAAAAAACCCCAATTTTCCCCCAAAACGCCATTTTTTCCCAAAAGGGCAGGAATTGGCCCCAAACCTCGTGGAAGAAATGCCGCATTTGGTTCATTTTGGTCTTGAAGCGTTTCAGTTTCTGGTGGATCCGTTTGTCCTTCTCCAGCTGCGCGATCGTCGCCCACTCGCAGTGCAGGTACGAGCTGGGGGCGGGGCCACGGGTCAAGGACACGCCCCCGGCACGGGGCGGCCAATCAGAAACAGCCACCCCAAAACCGGGCGAAAATGAGCCCCAAAACGATCCCAAAATGGCCAAAATTGCCCCAAAATGGCCCTGCCCAGCTGGGCCCAATCGCAGTGCAGGTACGAGCTGGGGGCGGGGCCACGGGTCAAGGACACGCCCCCGGCACGGGGCGGCCAATCAGAAACAGCCACCCCAAAACCGGGCAGAAAAAACCCCAAAAACGACCCCAAAAATGACCCCAAAATGGACCAAAATGACCCAAAATGGCCCCGCCCCAGCTGCGCCATCGTCGCCCAATCACAGCCCAGGTAGGAGCTGGGGGCGGGGCCAGGTGAGGGCCACAAAGTGACCATGAGTGACCACAAAGTGACCATGAGTGACCACAAAGTGACCATGAGTGACCATAACTGACCCAAAATTACCCCAAACCGACCCCAACTGACCATGAGTGACCCCAATGACCGCGAGTGCCCGCGAGTGACCACGAGTGACCCTAAACCGACCCCAAACCAACCCCAACTGACCATGAGTGACCCCAAACTGACCATAACTGACCACAACCAACCCCAACTGACCCAAAATTACCCCAAACCGACCCCAACTGACCGCGAGTGACCCCAATGACCCCGAGTGACCCCGAGTGACCGCGAGTGACCACTCACTAGTTCTTGTACTTGACGAAGAACTCCTCGGCCTCCACCAACTGTCCCGAGGGCAGCTGAGCGTGAGGAAGGTGAAGATGACCACGGTGAGGAAGGCCAGGAGGTCACCACCCCCACCCCCAGGCCATGGTGGTGACCACACTGACCACACTGACCACACTGACCACACTGACCGCACTGACCACACTGACCGCACTGACCGCACTGACCACACTGACCACACTGACCAGGCTGACCACACTGACCGCACTGACCGCACTGACCACACTGACCGCACTGACCACAGTGACCGCACTGACCGCACTGACCACACTGACCACACTGACCGCACTGACCACACTGACCACACTGACCGCACTGACCGCACTGACCACAGTGACCACACTGACCGCACTGACCACACTGACCGCACTGACCACAGTGACCACACTGACCACACTGACCACAGTGACCGCACTGACCGCACTGACCACAGTGACCACACTGACCACAGTGACCGCACTGACCGCACTGACCACGCTGACCGCACTGACCGCAGTGACCGCACTGACCGCACTGACCACACTGACCACACTGACCGCACTGACCGCACTGACCACACTGACCGCACTGACCGCACTGACCACACTGACCACACTGACCACAGTGACCACACTGACCACACTGACCACACTGACCACACTGACCACACTGACCACACTGATCACACTGACCACACTGACCGCACTGACCACACTGACCACACTGACCACACTGACCACACTGACCACACTGACCACACTGACCGCACTGACCACACTGACCACACTGATCACACTGACCACACTGACCGCACTGACCACACTGACCACAGTGACCACACTGACCACACTGACCACACTGACCACACTGACCACAGTGACCACACTGACCACACTGACCACAGTGACCACACTGACCACACTGACCACACTGACCACACTGACCACAGTGACCGCACTGACCACACTGACCACACTGACCACACTGACCACACTGACCACACTGACCACAGTGACCACACTGACCACACTGACCACACTGACCACACTGACCACAGTGACCGCACTGACCTCCTTCTTGACCACGCGCATGGACAGCACCTTGTCCACAATGGCCGCGTCCTCCTCGCTCGGGTTCTCCTGGGGGGACACAGCACGAGGAGGAGGAGGAGGAGGAGGTGAGGAAGGTCAGGGGAGGGGATGAAGGTCATGGGGGTGGAGCAGGTGAGGAGGAGGAGGTGGAGGTGAGGAGGAGGAAGATGAAGGTGGTGGAGAAGGTGAGGAGGAAGATGAGGGTGAGGAGGAGGAGGAGGTGAGGAAGGTCAGGGGGTGGGGATGAAGGTCACGGGGGTGGAGGTGAGGAGACGGAGAAGGTGAGGAGGAAGATGAGGGTGAGGAAGGTCACGGGGTGGGGATGAAGGTCATGGGGATGAAGATCACAAAGATGAAAAAAATGAGGAGGAAGATGAAGGTGGTGGAGAAGGTCGTGGGATGGGGATGAAGGTCACAGGGATGAAGAAGGTGAGGAGGAAGATGAAGGTGAGGAGGAAGATGAAGGTGGTGGAGAAGGTCGTGGGATGGGGATGAAGGTCACAAGGATGGAGAAAGTGAGGAGGAAGATGAAGGTGGCGGAGAAGATGAGGAAGGTCACGGGGATGGAGCAGGTGAGGAGATGAAGAAGGTGAGGAGGAAGGTGAGGGTGAGGAAGGTCATGGGATGGGGATGAAGGTCACGGGATGGAGATGGTGATTAAGATGATGAAGGTGGTGGAGAAGGTGAGGAGGAAGATGAGGGTGAAGAAGGTGAGGAGGAAGATGAGGGTGAGGAGAATGATGAGGGTGGAGAAGGTCATGGGATGGGGATGAAGGTCACAGGGGTGGAGCAGGTGAGGAGGAGGAGGAGGTGAGGAAGGTCATGGGATGGGGATGAAGGTCACGGGGATGGAGCAGGTGAGGAGATGAAGAAGGTGAGGAGGAAGGTGAGGGTGAGAAAGGTCATGGGATGGGGATGAAGGTCACGGGGATGAAGAACGTGACCAAGATGATGAAGGTGAGGAGGAAGATGAGGGTGAAGAAGGTGAGGAGGAAGATGAGGATGGAGAAGGTCATGGGATGGGGATGAAGGTCACGGGATGGAGATGGTGATTAAGATGATGAAGGTGAGGAGGAAAATGGGGAGATGATGAAGGTGGTGGAGAAGGTGAGGAAGGTCATGGGGATGGAGAAGGTGACGAAGATGATGAAGGTGAGGAGGAAGATGAGGAGATGAAGGTCATGGGATGGGGATGAAGGTTCCAGAGATAAAGGAGATGATGATGATGACGATGGACACAACAAATATGGAGACAAGGGAGGTGAACAAGGTGAGGAAGATGACGAAGGTGAGGATGAGGAAGGTGATGAAGATGAAAGTGAGGAAGATGATGATGATGAAGATGAGGAAGGTGAGGAAGGCCGCCCACCACGAAGAACCGCATGGAGAATAGGAAGAAGATCATGGAGAACATGAACATCATGAAGATGAACATGGAAGATGATGAAGATGACGAAGGTGAAGATGAAGAAGGTGAGAATGATGAGGATGATGAAGGTGAGGATGATGAGGATGATGATGAAGATGATGAAGATGATGAAGAGGAAGGTGAGGAAGGGCACGCACCACGAAGAACCGCACGGAGAAGAGGAAGATGATCATGGAGAACACGAACATCGTGAAGATGAACAAGATAGAAGATGACAAAGATGATGAAGATAACGAATATGATGAGGAAGATGAAGGTGAGGATGATGAAGATGATGAAGATGAAGGTGAGGATGACGAAGGTGAGGATGAGGAAGGGCACTCACCACGAAGAACTGCATGGAAGATGATGATGGAGAACAGGAACATCATGAAGATGAACATGGAAGATGACGAAGATAACGAATATGATAACGATGATGAGGAAGATGAGGAAGATGAAGATGAAGATGAGGAAGATGAAGATGATGAAGATGAAGGTGAGGATGACGAAGATGAGGATGAGGAAGGGCACTCACCACGAAGAACCGCATGGAGAAGAGGAAGATGATGATGGAGAACATGAACATCGTGAAGATGAACGAGATGGAACATGACAAAGATGACAACAAGGATGACGAAGATGAGGAAGATGAGGATGATGAAGGTGAGGATGATGAAGATGACGAGGAAGGGCACTCACCACGAAGAACTGCATGGAGGGCAGCGCCGCGTCCCCGCCCTCGCCCTCCGTGGCCGGCGCGGGCGGCGCCGGGGGCGGCTCCTGGTCAGCGTCCGGCCGCGCCTGCGGCCCCGTCACGTCCAGCTCCTCGTCCAGATCCTCGTCGTCCGTCAGCTTGATGTCCAGGTCCTCCGTGTACTTCTTGCGCTTCACCTGCCGGTTCGAACGCCGCTTCTGCAGGTGAGACAGGTGAGACATGGACAGGTGAGACAGGTGAGACATGGACAGATGGACAGATGGACACACAGACACAGGTGGGACACGGTTTGGTGATGTCCAGGTCCTCCGTGCACTTCTTGCGCTTCACCTGGTGGTTCGAACGGCGCTTCTGCAGGTGGGACAGGTGAGACATGGACAGGTGAGACATGGACAGGTGAGAGATGGACAGATGGACAGATGGACAGACAGACACAGGTGGGACACGGTTTGGTGATGTCCAGGTCTCCTCCGTGCACTTCTTGCGCTTCACCTGCCGGTTGGAAGGCGCGTTTGGGAGGACAGGTGAGACATGGACAGGTGAGAGATGGACAGATGGACAGATGGACAGGTGAGATATGGACACACAGACACAGGTGGGACACGGTTTGGTGATGTCCAGGTCCTCCGTGTACTTCTTGCGCTTCACCTGCTGGTTGGAACGGCGCTTCTGCAGGTGAGACAGGTGAGGGACAACACAGGTGAGACAGGTGAGGGGACACACAGGTGAGATACGGACAGATGGACAGGTGAGACAGATGGACACACAGACACAGGTGGGACACACAGACACAGGTGGGACACGGTTTGATGATGTCCAGGTCTCCTCCGTGCACTTCTTGCGCTTCACCTGCCGGCTGGAACGGCGCGTTTGGGAGGACAGGTGGGACAGGTGAGACACAGACAGGTGGGACACACACACAGATGGGACACACACACAGGTGGGACAGACACAGGTGGGACAGACACACGGGTGGGTGGGGACACGCCCAGAGCCACGCCTACCTCAGGTGAGACATGTGCAGGTGGGACACACCCAGCTGAGACACACCCACCTAGGTGACCTCATCTACCTCAGGTGACCACACCTGGCCCAGGTGACCTCACACACCCAAGTGACCACACCCATCCAGGTGACCACACACACCCAAGTGACCACACCCACCCAAGTGACCACACCCATCCAGGTGACCACACCCACCCAAGTGACCACACCCATCCAGGTGACCTCACCCATCCAAGTGACCACGCCCACCCCGGTGGCCCCGCCCCCTCCCAGGTGTGCCTCACCTGGACTCCTCCCCCGGCTCCTCCCCCCCCGTCGTCCTCCTGGCGCGGGGACGGCGCCGGCAGCGCCTCCGAGTCCGAGTTGTCCGAGCTGGCGTTGCGCTTGCGCTTCTTGCTGACCACCGGCGTGATGGTGCTGCGGACACAGTGACCGATGAGTGACCACTGAGTGACCACTGACCGCTGAGTGACCACTGACCGCTGAGTGACCACTGACCGCTGAGTGACCACTGACCACTGAGTGACCACTGACCGCTGAGTGACCACTGACCGCTGAGTGACCACCCCCAGCCCCTCCCAGGCCCAGCTGGCGTTGCGCTTGCGCTTCTTGCTGACCACCGGCGTGATGGTGCTGCGGACACAGTGACCACTGAGTGACCACTGACCACTGAGTGACCACTGACCACTGAGTGACCACTGAGTGACCACTGACCACTGAGTGACCACTGAGTGACCACTGACCGCTGAGTGACCACTGACCGCTGAGTGACCACCCCCAGCCCCTCCCAGGCCCAGCTGGCGTTGCGCTTGCGCTTCTTGCTGACCACCGGCGTGATGGTGCTGCGGACACAGTGACCACTGAGTGACCGCTGACCGCTGAGTGACCACTGAGTGACCGCTGGCCACTGCCACAAAAATCCCCAAGAAAATCCCCCCAGAAAGCCCTAAAATGGCCCAAAATGACCCTGAGTAACCAACTGACCACTGAGTGACCACTGAGTGACCAGTAAGTGACCACACTGACAGACTGCCCAGTGTCTACACTGACCAACTGACCAGTGACCGCACTGTGACAGTGGTCACAGTGACCAACTGACCACACCATGATGACCACCAACCCTTGATGACCACCAACACCATGACCACCAACCCTTGATGACCACCAACCCCATGATGACCACCAATGACCCCCAACCTCAGATGACCCCCCAACCTCAGATGACCACCAACTCCACGATGACCACTGACCCCTTGATGACCCCCAACCCTTGATGACCACCAACACCACAATGACCCCCAACCCATGATGACCACCAATGACCCCCAATGACCCCCAACCCCTGATGACCACCAGCCCCGCCCCAGCCCCGCCCCGTCCTCACCTGGCCTTGCCCCTGGCTTTGCTCTTGCCCTGCCCCTTGCCCCGGCGCGGCCGCTCCTCCTTGGCCGTGGCCGTGGGCCCTGTCCTTGCGCCGGCGCTTGCGGTCACTCTCGTCCTCGGGCCGGACGCTGGGCAGCTCGTCCTCGTTGAGCACGCGGGGGATGTTCTGCTCGCCGCGGGCGCGGGGCGCGGGCGATGGCCTCGGCCACGATGCGGTTCGCCTTCTCCTGCTTCTTCTGGTGCTCCAGCTTGCGGCTCTCGTCCGAGCAGCCGCCCCCCGCGTGGCACCACCGACGGCGCCGCCGCTGTGGTCAGCGCGGTCATCTCCGAGCCGCTCAGCACCTTGACCACCGAGAGGCCGGCGGAGGGCGCGCCCGAGGAGGAGCCGGCCTGGGACAAGGGGAGAGGAGGGGTCGGTGGTCAGCGGGGGCGTGGGTGGGTGGGGGTCAGTGGGGACGTGGAGTGGTGACCACCATGTTGAGACTGTGGTCAGTGAGGACGTGGAGTGGTGGTGGTCAGGGAGGATGTGGAGTGGTGACCACTGTGTTGAGATTGTGGTCAGTGAGGGCGTGGTCAAGTGGTGGTCAGTGAGGACATGGAGTGGTGACCATCACGTTGAGATTGTGGTCAGTGAGGGCGTGGTCAAGTGGTGGTCAGTGAGGATGTGGAGTGGTGACCACTGTGTTGAGACTGTGGTCAGTGAGGACGTGGAGTGGTGGTGGTCAGTGAGGGCGTGGCGGGTGGGGGTCAGTGAGGGCGTGGAGTGGTGACCACCACGCTGAGATCATGACCAACAAGGCCATGGTCAAGTGGTGGTCAGTGGGGACATGGAGTGGTGACCACCACGTTGAGATTGTGGTCAGTGAGGGCGTGGTCAAGTGGTGGTCAGCGAGGATGTGGAGGAGTGACCACTGTGTTGAGATTGTGGTCAGCAGGGGGCGTGGTCAAGTGGTGGTCAGTGAGTGGTGACCACCATGCTGAGATCATGACCAACAAGGCCGTGGTCGGGTGGTGGTCAGTGAAGGCGTGGTTGGGTGGTGGTCACTCCCACCCCCACTGACCACTCCCATCACACTGACCACTCCCACCCCAAACTGACCACTCCCACCCCAAACTGACCACTCCCACCCCCACTGACCACTCCCACCCTTACAGACCACTCCCACTGACCACTCCCACCCCACTGACCACTCCCACCCCAAACTGACCACTCCCACCCCCCACTGACCACTCCCATCACACTGACCACTCCCACCCTAACTGACCACTCCCACCCTAAACTGACACTCCCCACCCCAGACCACTCCCACCCCAAACTGACCACTCCCACCCTAACTGACCACTCCCACTGACCACTCCCACCCCAAACTGACCACTCCCACCCCACACTGACCCACGCCCACCCCACACTGACCACTCCCACCCCAAACTGACCACACCCACCCCACATTGACCACGCCCACCCCCAAAATTGACCACGCCCCGTGCCTCACCTGCGGCTGCAGCACCACCTTGAGCGGCACCGTCAGCCTCTGCCCGGCCCCGCCCACCACCTGCGGCACCTGGGCCACGCCCACGGGCCCCGCCCCCGGCTGGATCAGCTGGATCTTCTGTCCGGCCGCCTGTCCGGCCGCGGCCGGGGGCTGCACCTGCAGCTGGATGGTCACCACCTTGGCCGGAGCGCCGGGGGGCGTGGCCTTGGCCGCCGCGCCGGGGGGCGTGGCCGCGGCCCCGCCCTGCAGGAGGAGCTTGCCGGGCAGGGTGCCCAGGACGACGTGGCGCTGGCCAGGTGGGGCACCTGGGGCAGGTGTCTGCTGCAGCACCAGCGTGATGCGCTTGGACTCGCCCTGCGGATGGACAGATGGACAGGGGTCAGTGGGAGGGGTCAGGGGTCAGTGGTCAGTCAATGGTCAGTGTCAATGGTCAGTGTCAATGGTCAGTGGCGCTGGCCAGGTGGGGCACCTGGGGCAGGTGTCTGCTGCAGCACCAGCGTGATGCGCTTGGACTCGCCCTGCAGATGGACAGATGGACACGGGTCAGGGGTCAGTGGGAGGGGTCAGTGTCAATGGTCAGTGTCAGTGGTCAGTGTCAATGGTCAGTGTGGCGCTGGCCAGGTGGGGCACCTGGGGCAGGTGCCTGCTGCAGCACCAGCGTGATGCGCTTGGACTCGCCCTGCGGATGGACACACGGACAGGGGTCAGGGGTCAGTGTGAGGGGTCAGGGGTCAGTGTGAGGGGCCAGTGGTCACTCAGGGGTCAGTGGTCAGTGTGGGGATGGACAGAGGTCAGTGGTCACTCAGGGGCCAGTGGTCAGTGTGAGGGATCAGTGTGAGGATGGACACTGGAATAGCGGTCACTGGTCACTCAGGGGTCAGTGGTGACTCAGGGGTCAGTGGTCACTCAGGGGTCAGTGGTCACTCAAGGGTCAGTGTGAGCGGTCAGTGTGGGGATGGACAGACATCAGTGGTCAGACAGAGATCAGTGGTCACTCAGGGGTCAGTGGTGACTCAGGGGTCAGTGCAGGGATGGACAGAGCTCAGTGGTCAGTCAGAGCTCAGTGGTCAGTCAGAGCTCAGTGGTCAGTCAGAGCTCAGTGGTCAGTCAGTGGTCACTCAGGGATCAGTGGTCAGTGTGAGGGGTCAGTGTGGGGATGGACACTGGGATAGCGGTCAGTGGTCACTCAGGTGTCAGTCAGGGGTCAGTGCAGGGATGGACAGGGGTCAGTGGTCAGTCAGAGCTCAGTGATCAGTCAGAGATCACTCAAGGGTCAGTGGTCAGTCACTGGTCAGTGCTCACTCAGCCCCTCCCAATCCCCACCTGGCCACACCCACACTCACCTGGCCCCTCCCAAACACCACCTGACCCCACCCAAACCCCCTCAGACCCCACCTGGCCACACCCAAACCTCACCTGACCCCACCTGGCCACACCCAAACCCCCCCCTAACCCCACCTGTCCCCACCCAAACCCCACCTGTCCCCCCCCAGCCCCACCCGTCCCCCGTGCTCTCACCTGGGCGGGCCCCAGGCTCAGTCCGGGTTTCAGGGCGGGGCTCCCAGGTGCGCCCGGCCCCGCCCCCGCCGTGGCCTTCAGGGGCTGCAGCAGCAGCTGCTTCACCTGCCTGGCCCCGCCCCCTGCCGCCGAGGCCACGCCCCCCGCCGCTGCTGCCGAGGAGGCCACGCCCCCCGCCGCTGCTGCCGAGGAGGCCACGCCCCCCCGCGCGGATGGTGGGCGGGGCCAGCACCTTGGCCAAGGTGACTTTGCCGCCGTTGGGCGTGGCCGGGGCGGGGCCTCCTCCCGGTGGGGGCGGGGCTTTGAGGATGACGATTTTAGGGGGAGGGGGAGGGGGGGGTCCCGAGGGGGCGGGGGGCAGGGGCGGAGACCCCCATGAAGGGATTTCCCTGGCTCAGCACTTCCGCTTCCGGTTGTGGGAGGGGCGGGGCGGGGTTTGGGGGCGGGGTCCGGGGGGTTCTGGGGGGGGTCCAGGGCCCCCGAGAGCCCCCAAAGCCTCGGCCAGGGGGTCGGTGGGGGGAGGGGTGGGCGCGGGGGGCGGGGCCGAGGAGGAGGGGGGAGGGGCAGGGGGCGGGGCCACCAGGTCCTCGGGGGGGGAGGGGGTCCAGGCCGAACAGGTTGGGGTCGTCAAAAAGATCCATGATGGGGTCGGCCATGTTGGGGGGAGGGGAGGGGACCCCCGAAATTGGGGATGGGGGGGGTTGAACGCGAGAATCAAAAATTTGGGGGTTCTGAGCCCAAAAAATGGGGATTGGAGGGGGAAATGGGGATTGAGGGGGTTGTGACCCCAAAAAATGGAGATTTAGGGGGGTTGTGACCCCAAAAAATGGGGATTTGAGTGGTTCTGACCCCAAAAAATGGGGATTTGAGGGGATTTTGGCCCAAAAAATGGGGATTTGAGGGGGTTGTGATGGGGATTTGAGGGGGAAATGGGGATTTAGGAGGTTCTGACCCAAAAAAATGGAATTTAGGGGATTCTGACCCAAAAAATGGGGATTTGAGGGGTTGTGACCCAAAAAATGGGAATTTAGGGGATTCTGACCCAAAAAATGGGGATTTGAGGGGGTTCTGACCCCAAAAATGGGAATTTAGGGGATTCTGACCCAAAAAATGGGGATTTGAGGGGTTGTGACCCAAAAAATGGGGATTTGAGGGGGTTCTGACCCCAAAAATGGGGATTATGGGGGTTGTGACCCAAAAAATGAAGATTTGAGTGGTTCTGACCCAAAAAATTGGAATTTAGGGCGTTGTGACCCAAAAAATGAAGATTTGAGTGGGTTCTGACCCCAAAAAATGAAGATTTAGGGGGTTGTGACCCAAAAAATAGGAATTTAGGGGGTTCTGACCCAAAAAAATGGGGATTTAGAGGGAGTTTGGGGAGTCCAAAAAACCCAAAAAAGCCGAAATTTGAGTGGGGGGGGTTTGGGGGGTGCTGACCCCAAAAATCGGGAATTTGGGGGTCTCGACCCCGAAAATCAAAAACTGGGGGGGGGTTTGGGGGTCCTGACTGTGAATATCAACAATTTGGGGGGGGTTTGAACCCAAAAATCAAAAATTTGGGGGGGTCTTGGGGGCACAACCCCAAAAATTGGGAATTTGGGGGGGTCTGGGGGAGGTTTGGGGGGTCCCGACCCCAAAAATCCGAAATTTGAGGAGGATTTGGGGGTCCCGACCCCAAAAATCCAAAATTCGAGGAGGATTTGGGGGTCCCGACCCCAAAAATCCAAAATTTGGGGAGGATTTGGGGGGTCCCGACCCCGAAAATCCAAAATTTGGGGGAATTTGGGGGTCCTGACCCCAAAAATCCAAAATTTGGGGGGTTTGGGGGAGATCTGGGAGGTCCCAATTGCTAAAAATCAGAATTTTGGGGCGTTTTAAGGGCCCAGACCCCAAAAAATGGAAATTTGGGGGGTCCTGGGTGGAATTTGGGGGATCTGGGGGTCCCCAACCCCCAAAAATGGAAATTTTGGGGAGGATTTAGGGGGGTCCTGGGGGGAAATTGGGGGTCCCCAACCCCAAACTGGGGGGGTTGGGGAGTCCCAGGGGGAATTTGGGGGTGCTGGGGAGGTTTTGGGGGGAATTTGGGGGGGATTTTGGGGGTTTTGGGGGGAATTTGGGGGTTTTGGGGGAATTTGGGGGGAGTTTGGGGTTTTTGGGGGGAATTTGGGTGTTTTTGGGGGGCTCTTCTGAGGCTGAGGGGGCTCCGGAGCTCCAGGCTGTGGGGAGAGAGAAAAGAGGGGGGGTCAGGGGGACCCCAAAATTGGGGGGTTTGCACCCAAAATGAGGCAGGAAAGGAGCTGGGGAAAATGGGAGACCCCAAACTGGGGGGAACTGGGGGGAACTGGGAGCACAAACTGGGGGCAACTGGGGGAACTGGGAGTTCAAACTGGGACCCCAATTCAGCCCAAACTGGGGGAACTGGGAGCACAAACTGGGACCCCAATTTGGGGTAACTGGGACCCCAAAGTGACCCAAACTGGGACCCCAAACTGGTAATAACTGGGACCCCAAAGTGGCGCAAACTGGGACCCCAATTTGGGGTAACTGGGATCCCAAACTGGGACCTCAAACTGGGGTAACTGGGATCCCAAACTGGTAATAACTGGGACCCCCAAAGTGGCCCAAACTGGGACCCCAATTTGGGGTAACTGGGATCCCAAACTGGGACCCAACTGGGGGAACTGGGAGCACAAACTGGGGGGAACTGGGGGGAACTGGGAGCCCAAACTGGAACCCAATTTGGGGTAACTGGGATCCCAAACTGGGACCTCAAACTGGAGATAACTGGGACCCCTGATTTAGAATAATTGGGATCCCAAACTGGTAATAACTGGGACCCCAATATGGCCCAAACTGGGACCCCAATATGGCCCAAACTGGGACCCCAACTTGAGGTAACTGGGAACCCAATGTGGCCCAAACTGGGACCCCAAACTGGGACCTCAAACTGGGGTAACTGGGATCCCAAACTGGCCCAAACTGGGACCCCCAAACTGGGACCCAGTTTGGGGTAACTGGGACCCCAAACTGGGACCCAATTTGGGGTAACTGGGATCCCAAACTGGGACCCAATTGGGGGTAACCGGGATGCCAAACTGGTAATAACTGGGACCCCCAAAGTGTCGCAAACTGAGACCCCAATTTGGGGTAACTGGGACCCCAAAGTGGCCCAAACTGGGACCCCAAACTGGGGGTAACTGGGACCCCAAACTGGGACCCAATTGGGGATAACTGGGATCCAAAACTGGGACCCAATTTGGGGTAACTGGGACCCCAATGTGGCCCAAACTGGGACCCCAATTTGGGGTAACTGGGACCCCAAACTGGGACCCAACTGGGGCTAACTGGGACCCCAAACTGGGACCCAATTGGGAGTAACTGGGACCCCAAACTGGGACCCAATTTGGGGTAACTGGGATCCCAAACTGGGACCCCAAACTGGGGTAACTGGGACCCCCAAACTAGGACCCAATTTGGGGTAACTGGACCCCAAACTGGTAATAACTGGGACCCCAAAGTGGCCCAAACTGGGACCTCAATTTGGGGTAACTGGGAACCCAAACTGGGACCCCAATTTGGGGTAACTGGGACCCCAATATAGCCCAAACTGGGACCCCATTATAGGGTAACTGGGACTCCAGTCTGGCCCAAAGTGGGACCCCAATTTAGCACAAACTGGGACCCCAAACTGGGGGTAACTGGGACCCCCAACCTGGCCCAAACTGGGACTCCCATTTAGAATATCTGCAACTCAAATTTAGGACAAAGTGGGACCTCAATTTGGGATAACTGGGACCCCCAATATGGGGTAACTGGGACTCCAATGTGGCCCAAACTGGGACCCCAATTTAGGACAAATTGGAACCCCCAAATGGCCCCAAAATGGAACCCCAATTTAGGGTAACTGGGACCCCAATTTAGGGTAACTGGGACCCCAATCAAGCACGAACTGGGACCCCCAATTCAGCAAAAGCAAGGACCCCAGTCTGGCCCAAACTGGGAGCCAAATTTCAGGGTAACTGGGATCTCGATTTGGGGTAACTGGGACCCCAAACTGGGCGTAACTGGGACCCCAATCTGGCCCAAACTGGGACCCAAACTTGAGGTAACTGGGATCCCAAACTGGGGGGAAGTGGGACAGCAAACTGGGGGAACTGGGACCCAATTTCGGGTAACTGGGACCCCAGACTGGAGCTCCAGTTCAAGGTAACTGGGATCCCATTCTGGCCCAAACTGGGACCCCAAACTGAGACCCAGCCCGGCCCACCCGGACCCCACCAGAGCCCCCCATGAGGGCCGCTCCCCTCCCCCCCCCTCCCCTCACGACCCCCATGAGGGCCGATCCCCCCCCCATTCCCGCCTTACCTGTCCCGCCGAGCGCCTGAGGGAAAAGGGGGGGAAGGGAAGGGAAATCCGCCACCCCCCTCGCTTCGGGCCGATATTCGGGGGGGGGTTTCCCCACAGAAATGATTTTTGTTTTTTAAAAAATATTTAAATTTTTAAAGGAAGGGGGGGGAGCAAGGGGGTGTGGGGGGGGGGGGGGGGGCGCCGCCGCTCGTGCCCCCCCCGCGCGCGCGCGCCGAGCCCGGGGGCGCCCTCACGGAGCGGCTCGCGGCGCAACGCAGCGCGCGCACGGCCACGCCCCCTTCCCAGCTGGCCACGCCCCTCCGCCTCGCTCCTCATTGGCTGAGCCCCGCCGGCGCCGCGCGCTGATTGGTCGGATCAGCCGCCAGCCGGTGCGTTGCGCACGCCCACCCGGAAGCGCTCCCCCTCACGGACATGGTGGGGGGGGCCTTAGTTTAGGGGTGGCCGCGGCGCTGCCGGAGCGCGCGGGGCAGGCGGGAGCGCGGGCAGCCGCGAGCCGCCATCTTGTGGCGCTGAGGGGGACGCGGGGTCCTTCGCCCTCAGAGGGAGGAAAAAAAAAATCATAGATTAAAAAAAATTTAAAAATAAACCCAAATCTGGCGGATTTGAGCCCAAAAAAGTGGCAGGAGCGGCGGGAATGGAAGGGATTGGCCGCGATCGGGCCGCATCGCCCCGAGCGGCGGCGGCGGCGCCAAAATCGAGGGCGGGTTTGGGGCCGGGCCTGGGACTGGGGGAAAATCGGGGAAGATCGGGCAAAAAAAAATCGGAAAAAACGGACAAAAACGGGGAAAATCGGGCAATAACGGGAAAATGGGGGAAAAAACACTCGGAAATGCCGTTTGGGGACAAAAGGGGAGAGATTGGGCTGAAAATGCCCCCAAAATTGCAAAAAGTGGCCCCCAATAGGCCCTCGGGGATCCGGGCTGAAAGAGACCTCAAAAGGCAAAAAAATGGAAATGAAAGGCACAAAATGGATAAAAAATAGCCAAAAAAAGGTACTGAAGGGTATAAAAATGGATTGGAATGGCATAAAAATGGATAAAATGGGCAAAATGAGGATAAAATGGGCATAACAATGGACTAAAATGGGCACAAAATGGATTAAAATTGTCACAAAATTGATAAAATCGTCCCGAAACAAGGTTTAAAAAGTCCCAAAAGATGAAAACAGAACTAAAAGGGCACAAAATTGATAATTATGATCCCAAAATGACACTAAAAGATCCCAAAATTTCACTAAAATGCTTCAAAATTGATTTTTTAAGGGTAAAAATTGGCATTAAGTGGTCCCAAATCAACACAAATAACACAAAAAATGGAAAAAATTTTGGAATTTGCCCAAGAAACGCTCAAATCTCCTCAAATTTTTTTATCACCAATAAAAAATAGGGAAAATCTCAACATTTGACATTTTTTAGGAACCTCGGCACCAAATTCTGGGCAAATCCCCCCAAAATTCAGGTTTTAAAATCCAAAAAGAAAAAAATACCCCCCAAATCTTTCAATTTTGGGATAAAAAGGTTGAAAAAAAATCTCAATTTCTTGTTTTGGAGGAAATTTGGGAGCAAATTGGGAGCAAAACTGCCCCAAAAAATCCAATTTTAACCCCAGAAAAAGGATCAAAATCCTCAAAATTCAGGGTTTTGGTGTTTTTTTTACTAAATTACCAAAATACTCCAAATTTCTGCAGTTTAAAGTGAAATTTATGGAATTAAAAGTTAAAATATTTTTAAAATATTTTAAAATTCAACAAATTTTATTGTGTTAAAAATTGTGATTTCAGCTGTGTGAATTGAATTAAAAGTAATTTCATAGAAAATTAAATAGTCCAGATAAAATGATACGAATTAGCCAAAATCAGTTAAATTAATTTAAATTAATTAAGTTAACCGACATAAAGTAAATATTACTAAGAATTGTGATTTAAAGTTTCAGACATTTTACTTTTTAAAGTTTAAATCTTTAAATTTAAAGGGAAAAATTCAGCCAAAATTTGAAATATGGGGTGAAAAATGCTGAATTTGGGATAAAACTTTGGAATTTGGGGCAAAACCCTGGAATTTGAGGTGAAAAAAATCAGAATTTTGGTTGAAATTCATGAATTTTGGGCCAAAAAAGTGGAATTTGCGGTGAAACTCTGGGATTTGGGTTAAAAAATTGGAATTTAGGTCAAAACAAAAAGGAATTTGAGGAAATAAAAGCAGAATTTTGGGGTGAAAGTGTTGGAATTTGGGTTAAAAAACAGGAAATTTTGGGATCCGAGTCTGGATTTTGGGTTGAAACACGAAATTTTGGGGTCCCAGTTTGGCCTCTTGGCCCCGCCCCTCACCTCTGATTGGTGCCACCCGCGATGACGTCACCAAGCTCAGACCAATGGGGAGCGCAGGGTCCTGGAAAGAGGGAGGGGCTTCATCAATTGGGGGCGGGGCTTCCTCAGTGACACCAAAACCTCCTGATTTTACCCCAAAATCTCCCGATTCCACCAAAATCTCCTGATTTCACCCCAAAACCTCCTGGTTTCACCCCAAAATCCCCTAAAGAACCTTAAATCTTTAGATTTTCCCTCAAATCCCCTCTGAGACTCCTCAAAACCTCTGAATTTCCCCCAAATTTTCCACAAACTCCCCTAAAAAACTCCTGATTTCTGCAAAACCTCCTGATTTCACACCAAAATCCCTCCAGAGACCCCTCAGAACCTCCTGATTTCACCCAAAAATCTCCCCAAATCCTCTCATTTCTTTCCCAAATCCCTCGAATTTCCTTATTTCAACCCAAATCCCTCAAATCTCCTTATTTCACCGCAAATCCCCTCATTTCTCTCCCAAACCCCCTCAAATCCCTTCATTTCAACCCAAAGTCCCTCATTTCTTCTCCAAACCCCTCAAACCTCCTAATTTCACCTCAATTCTCCTCTTTTCACCCGAAACCCCCTCATTTCTCACCCAAAACCCTCAAATTCCCTCATTTCACCCCAAATCCCCTCATACCTCCCCCAAGATCCCTCATTTCTCGCTTTTTTTTGTCCCAAATCCTCTCATTTCTCCCGAAATCCCCTCATTTCTCCCCAAACCCTCTCATTTCTCACCCAAACCCGTCAAATCCCCTCATTTTGCCCCAAACCCCCTCATTTCTCACCCAAATTCCTCAAATCCTCATTTCACCCCAAATCCTCTCATCCCTCACCCAAATCCCCTCATATTTCCCCAAATCCCCTCATACCTCACCCAAATCCCCTCATTTCTCACCCAAACCCCTCGAATCCCCACATTTAACCCAAAATCCCCTCACGCCTCCTCCCTTCACCCCCCAAACGCCCCAAATCCCCCTCATTTCACCCCAAATCCCCTCATTTCCCCCAACCCCCCTCATTTCTCACTCATTTAACCCCAAACCCCCTCATACCTCCCCCAAACCCCTCAAACCCTCACATTTCACCCCAAATCCCCTCACGTCTCCCCCCAACCCCCCCCCCATCCCCTCACGAACATCCCCCCCCCCCTCAATTCCTCCCCCGCCCCTCCCACACCCCGTGGGCCCCCCCGGGCCGCCCCAAATCCCCAAATCCGCCCGAATTTCCCCCAAAATCTGCCCCGGACCCCTCCCCCCCCCTCCCCCCCTCACGGCCCCCCCCCTCCCCCCCTCAGCCCCCCCCCCGCCCCGCCCCTCCCCCCCCGCCCGTCGCCGCCGATGACGCACCGCCCGCGCCGCGCGCGCCCGCCGCTGGCGCCCCGCCCCTTCCGGCGGCGCTCCGCCCCTTCTCTATGGTTCCTCCCCATATCCTCCCTGAGGGCTCCTCCTTTCCTATTCCGGTGCCGCTCTAGCTCGGTCCTCCAACGCTTCTATGCTCTCGTTCCCTCCCTGTTTTTAAACAAAAAAAATCTAAAATTTGTCGAAACGCCCCCAAGTTGGTTTTTTGGTGTCACAGAGAGGGGGTTTAAACGGCTGGGTTGCGGTTGGGTTGCCCGGAGGGAGGTTTCGTCTCTATGTGGCGGCAGCGGAAATGGCGGCGCCAGGGAGGGGCGGGGTTTCCGCTTCGGCGCGCGGCGCCCCGGGGGGGGGGAGCGGCGGCGCGATGGAGGTGAGGGGGGGGCGGGCGTGAGGGAAAAATGGGGCAAAAACGGCCAAAAATGGGAAAAAAAGGGGGGAAATAAACGCGCTCAGGGGCGGCTGGGGGCGGAGCGGGGAGGTTGGGGCGGGAAAATGGGGGTTTGGGGAGCGGGAGGGGAGGGCGGAGAGCGTGAGGGGGGAAATGGGCGAAAATCAGGAAGAAAGGGGAAAATGAGGGAAAATATTGTGATGTGAGGGGAAAGAAGGGGAAAAATGGGAGAAAAGGGAAGAAAATGGGGGCAAAAAGGGGGTTTAGGGTGTGGGGGGAGAGCGTGACGGGAAAATGGGGAAAAAATGGGGGAAAATGGGGAAAGAAAGAGAAAATGGGAAAAAAGGTTCTGGTCTGAGGGGAAAATGGGGGAAAAAAGGGGAAGAAAAGAGAAAAAATGGGGGTTTGGGAAGGTTGCAGTGAGGGGGGGAGAGCGTGAGGGGAAAATGGGGTGAAAATCGGGGAAAATGGGAAAAAAGGGGGGAAAAAATGGAGAAGTGGGGAAAATATCGGGAAAAGGGGGGGAAATTTGGAAAAAAAAAGGGGGAAGTGGGGAAAAAAGGGCAAAAATGGGGGAAAAAAGCAAAAAGTAGGGGGAAAAGCTGGAAAAAAATGAGAAAATGGAAGAAAAAATGGAAAAGTTTGGATAAAAGGGAAGAAATGAAAAGGTGGGAGGAAAATGGGAATAAGTTGGGAAAATTGAGGGAAAATAGGGAGAAATGGGTAAGGAAGAGGTGAAAGAGAAAAAAAAGGGGGAAAATGGGAAAGAAAGAGGAGAAAAATGGGAAATAAAGAGAAAAGTGGGGAAAGAAGTAAAAAGGGGGGAAAGTGGGGAAAAAAGGGGGGAAAAGGGGAAAAAAATGAGATAAAAACGGGGAAAAATAGGGGAAAAGTGGGAAAAAATGGGGGAAAAGTGGGAAAAAATGGGGAAAAACTTGGAAAAAAATGGGGACAAAGTTAAAAAAGGAGGAGAAGGGAAGAACGGGGTGAATTTGGGCTGAGTTGCTGTGGTTCCTGCAGTTCCCCGGGGGCAGTGACAATTACCTGGCCATCACCGGCGCCTCCCACCCCTTCCTCAGCGGGGCCGAGGTGAGAAACGGGCGGGAAAAGGGCGAATTTGGGCAAATCCCAAAGGAACCCCTGGGGCACAGCCCCTGCTGAGGGTGGGGCTGGGAAGAAAAAATTGAATTTTTTCTGATTTTGGCTTGGAACCGCCTCAATTTTTGTGCCCTGGTTTTGGTTGAAACCCTTTGGGTTTGGGAACGAATTTCCACATTTTTACTCACAGCTCCCCGGTTTTGTGCTAAAACTCTGAGTTTTTGCCCCGAATCTCTGGATTATGGCGCCAAACTGCCCAAATTTTGTCCGGAACCCCCTGATTTTGGTGCCAAACCCCCAAATTTTGGTGCCAAACCCCAAAATTTTGTCCGGAACCCCCAAATTTTGGTGCCAAACCCCCAGTTTTGTGTTGAAAACCCAGTTTTGGGCTGAAACTCCCCGATTTCTGTCCAAAAGTCCCCGTTTTTCTTCCAAACCTCCCGATTTTGGGCTGGAACCCCCTGATTTTGGGCCGGAATCCCCCTGATTTTGGTACCAAACCCCCAAATTTTGGTACCAAACCCCCCAAATTTTGGTATCAAACCCCCCAATTTTGGTACTAAACCCCCAAATTTTGGTGCCAAACCCCCCGATTTCAGGTCCAAACCCCCCAATTTCCATCCCAAATGCCCAATTTCGCTCCCAAACCCCTGAGTTTCGATCTCAAACCCCCAATTTTGCTCCCAAACCCCCAATTTCAGGTCCAAACTCCCCAATTTCAGGTCCAAAGCCCCAATTTCACTCCCAAACCCCCCCCTAAGCCCCTGATTTCACTCCCAAACCCCCTGATTTTGATCCCAAACCCCCCAGTTTTGCTCCAAACCCCCCAATCTCCATCCCAAACCCCCAATTTGGCTCCCAAACCTCCTGATTTTGATCCCAAATCCCCCGATTTCCATCCCAAACCCCCAATCTCTCTCCCAAACCCCCCAATCTCAATCCCAAACCCCCCAATTTTGTTCCCAAACCCCCAATTTCAGGTCCAAAGCCCTGATTTCCATCCCAACCCCTCCCAATCTCGCTCCCAAACTCCCCAAACCCCCCGATTTTGCTCCCAAACTCCCCAATTTCACTCCCAAACCCCCCAATTTCAGGTCCAACCCCCCCAGTCTCTCTCCCAAACCCCCCAATCTCTCTCCCAAACCCCCCCAATTTTGCTCCCAAACCCTCCAATTTCAGGTTCAGGCCCCCCCAATCTGCATCCCAAACCCCCAATCTCTCTCCCAAACCCCCCAATTTCACCCCCAAATCCCCAATCTGGCTCCCAAATTCCCCAATTTTGCTCCCAAACCCCCCAATTTCACTCTCAAAGCCCCCTAACCCCCCAATTTCACCCCCAAACCCCCAATTTCGCCCCCTAACCCCCCAATTTCGCTCCCAAACCCCCCAATTTCAGGTCCAAGTCCCCCCAATTTTGCTCCCAAACCCCCAATTTCCATCCCAAACCACCCAATTTCACTCCCAACCCCCCCAATCTCCATCCCAAACCGCCCAATCTCAATCCCAAGCCCCCCAATTTCCATCCCAAACCCCCCAAACCCCCCGATCTCGCTCCCAAACCCCCCCAATTTTGCTCCCAAACCCCCCAATTTCTATCCCAAACCCCCCAATCTCTCTCCCAAACCCCCAAATTTTGTTCCCAAACCCCCCAATTTCAGGTCCAAAGCCCTGATTTCAACCCCAAACCCCCCAATCTCGCTCCCAAACTCCCCAAACGCCCCAATTTCACTCCCAAACCCCCCAATTTCAGGTCCAACCCCCCCCAGTCTCTCTCCCTAACCCCCCTAGCTCCCCAATTTTGCTCCCAAACCCCCCCAATTTCAATCCCAGACCCCCCAATCTCTCTCCCAACCCCCCCCAATCTCAATCCCAAACCCCCCAATCTCTCTCCCAAACCCCCAATTTCGCTCCAAACCCCCCTGATTTCACTCCCAAACCCCCCAATCTCAATCCCAAACCCCCAATTTCAGGTACAAACCCCCCAATTTCAGGTCCAAACTCCCTGATTTTGATCCCAAACCCCCCAATCTGGCTCCCAAACCCCCCAGTTTCACTCCCAAACCTCCCAGTTTCAGGTCCAAACCCCCCCAGTTTCGCTCCCAAACCCCCCTAAGCCCCCAATCTGGCTCCCAAACCCCCCCTAAGCCCTGATTTCACTCCCAAACCCCCTGATTTCACTCCCAAACCCCCCAATTTCACTCACAAACCCCCCAATTTCACTCACAAAGCCCCCTAACCCCCCTGATTTCCATCCCAAACCCCCAATTTCAGGTCCAAACCCCCCAATTTCAGGTCCAAACTCCCTGATTTTGATCCCAAACCCCCAGTCTCCGCTCCCAAAGCCCCCTAACCCCCCAATTTCGCCCCCTAACCCCCCCAATTTCACCCCCCAAACCCCCAATTCCACCCCCTAACCCCCATTCTCCCCCTTTCCCCAGACGTTCCACACGCCCAGCCTGGGCGACGAGGAGTTTGAGATCCCCCCGATCCCGCTGGACTCGGACCCCTCGCTGGCCGTGGTCGGGCACTTTGAGGACCTGCCCGAGCCCGGCGGCGCCCCCGAGGCCCCGTTCGCGCCCCCCCGGCTACGGCGTGGGGGGGCTGGAGCTGCCCGTGGCCGTGGGGCTGCCCCCGGGCATGATGGAGCAGCCGGGGGGGCTGCTCAACATGGTGAGTGTGGGGCCGGAAATGGGGGGTTTGACCCGGAAATGGGGGGTTTGACCCCGGAAATGGGACCCGGAAATGGTGAGTGTTGGGCCGGAAATGGGGGGTCTGACCCGGAAATGGGGGGTTGAACCCGGAAATGGTGAGTGCGGGGGCCGGAAATGGGGAGGTGGAACCGGAAATGGTGAGTGCAGGGCCGGAAATAGGGGGGGCTGGGACCGGAAATGGGGGGTTTCACCCCAAAAATGGGGGGTTTTCACCCCAAAAATGGGGGCTTTGACCCTAGAAATGGTGCTGGAAATGGGGAGAGAATGGTCACAAAAATGGGGGGTTTCACCCCAAAAATGGGGGGGGTGGGACCCCCAAAAATGGGGTGGGAATGGTCCCAGAAATGGGGGGTTTAACCCCAAAAATGGGGGGGAGTGATGTCCCAAATAGGGGGGGTTTAACCCCAAAATGGGGGGGGGGGGGTTTAACCCCAAAAATGGGCTGGGAATGGTCCCAAAACTGGCGGGTGTAACCCCAAAAATGGGGGGTTTAGCCCCAAAAATGGGGGGGCTGGAGCTGCCCGTGGCCGTGGGGCTGCCCCCGGGCATGATGGAGCAGCCGGGGGGGCTGCTCAACATGGTGAGT